GTTACAGTCAAGGAAAAATAAAATGTTCTCTACTACCTGTGCAAAACAAGAGCTCAAAATGATACAACTGATCAACTCAGTTTAAATCTGCTCCCACAAAATACGCCTCTCAGCTTCTCTCACACTTGCCATCTACAGCAATATTAGAAATTATCTAATGATTCATCTTGAAAGCATTTTTCATGCATGCTCTTACTAAAGACTTTTGTTTCATCTAAATATTCACACACAAAACCCTTTCAACAAAGATTTTCCTATTGGCTGAACCTGAGTGTGCTCAAATCCACTATAAAGTGGGCTGACAAGCACTTGCCCTGTACCACTTGCCTAGCCTCTGGCCAGTTAATATTCCCACAGAACACTAGTGAAACTTAGTTTCTAGCTATTCTACCAATCTCATTCTATTAAGTGAAAAAAAAAACACTTGACAAAACCACCATGAAAAAGCACATAGTTTTTGGGTTTTGTCAGTAGTATTACTTACAATACATCTGGTAAAGAAAGAAAAAACGGAAAGCCCCAGAGATGATCGGAACCTGTCCAAGGGCCCTACTGCAGAACACGGTGGAATGTCAGTCTTAAAGGAGGCAAGAGGGACTGTCTGGGCCTGCTCTGCTTTATTCCCAAAACCCACAAGGACTGCCGCTCTTCTGCCTTCACATTCTGCACACAGACCTTCCTTCCCACACCAAGCATCTGCAGCAATTATTAGAACCAAGAATGTGCTGATATTAGACATTCACCCCAATGCATCAGGCTGTGCACTTCCTCAACATTGTACAAGGAAACAACTGAGAAACACCTGTGCTAAATAACACCAGACTAATCCACTATTAAAAGTCACAGTTTGTGCTCCAGTCTGCTAAGGTTTCTGCTGAAGAAAGGTGCTGAGCTGCCAGTGAATCATCACCGAGAAAGATAATCTGAGACCAAGACAGCTTAATAAACAACTCTGAAAGGATTTTACAGAACCCATGTCTCATGTCACACTTGCATAAGCTGTTTACAACAAGGGGCTAAGAAAGGAATCCTCAGGGAGCCACACAAGGGGGCACATTCTTCTCAGAAGAGTTGTGTGATTTTTGGAACGAAGTAATCTGATGTACAGATGAATGAGACAATAAACAGTTTTTAGAGAGGAAAATGATAATGCTGGATTGTGAAACTAAGCACAGCAGGTAGCAAGCTTACAGAAGGGTGTTGAAGAGATTCGTACAATTCCCAAAAGCTGATACACTTAATCCCTGAGAAAAGCAAGACTGAAGTGTTACCATCACTCTCGAGTGTGATACCAGATTTCATAGGTGCAGTGCAAGCATAAACCCTCCTCGTGGCTTCATCTGGCACATGATTTATATTACTCATCAATTATTAAGGCAAATACTCAGGACTACACCATGCATTAAATCACTATAAATCCACTGAAAAGCATTTTCCTTAGCCATGGAAAGAAATCCATACTTGTTAACATGCCACTGCAGTAGAGACTACTGTCCAACTACTTCTGTGCAATATTATCAGAAATAATAGGCCTGTCTCAGGATTCACCACATTTCTGCTGAAGTGAAATGGTTTGGCCAAATGTGGATCCTAATGGGTAAAACAGAATTTAAAAATACAGCAGATTAAAAATTAACCTCATTCTTAATGTTAAGTGCTGTTCTCTTCAGGTGAAACTTGAGATAAAACACTGTGTAACAACTTGTTGCATTGATCCTTATGTTAAATCTATACCACATATATAGAGCCAGAATACCAGCCCTAAAGTGTTTTCACATTTTTCTCAGATGAAGCCTATTTCAGGAAGAGAATCATAGGAATAATAGTTAATAAAAAAAATTAAATAAAATATACCAGCCTAGAGTTACCATAGTAATTTCTATTAATCATATACAACTGCCTTTTTAAAAAAATAATAAAAAAATAATACAAGCTGATCAGTTGGAGATGATGATTTTGAAGACTGATGGTCCTCTCTTGTGTTTATGCACACTGTGTTTACCATACTTCATAAACTAAATATGTCCACAGTCAGCATGAGGATGCTTCTAAAACAAACAAGTCAACAACAACAAAGCCAGCTCAATTGTTTTGTTGCCTCTAGCAGTGAGTGCTGTATTTTCATATAAACTTCATGACCAAAACTTTTCACCACTGAACTGCTCTGCAGCAAGAAGGCAAGCATCCTTCTCCCACGTGCAACTGAATGACCAGTGTGTGTAAGATGTATATTTTGTATCATGCAAACTCACGGGATATAAACAATAACACATGATCTATTACACCAAAACCAAGCAGCATTGCCGAGTATTAACAGCAGGTACACAAAACACTCCTACTCTCCTCCGATTTTTCCCTCACTCCCCAGTCTCTCTGTGTCTCTTCTAATTACCCAGCCATGTAGCATTCACAATCCTCAAAGCAAGGACAAAAAAAGACAGAATTCAAATTATTAGCTCTACATGAGAACATGAAAACACATAAACACTGGGCCAGCCTAATGCCATTATTTTTTTTAACTCCTGATAATACTATGACTGATTCAGAGAAGTGTGCTGTAAAACATTCATGGCAGTCAAGTTTTCTCTCACCTAAAACAAGCCTTTCTCCTTCCTTCCTGCTGCCTGATGTCATCTCTCCCTTAATCATGCTTTTATTTATACAAGTTGGTGTTTAAAACAACCATGTCACAAGAGAAGTTCAAGTAAGTTAGAAATAACAAAATCAGATCTACAAGATCAGCCGTGTGAATAAATGCAAAGTAAATAAAGGCAAAATAAATGGCAGCAAGTCTGTGCCTCCACATAGCAAAGCAAACTGCAGAAGCAAAGCTGTAAGACTTTGGAGCAGCTATCATTTGACAATTCACTTAAACTTGTGAGCCCTCCAACAACTTATGAGGAACAACAAGCACAAGAAAGACTGTTCATATAAGCTGAGGCAAACAAAACAAAATCACGCCCTTTATTTTTTGTACAGATCACCATGTACGTGCTATATAGTACTATTTAATTTCATTAAAAAATAAAAATTGCCACATAGCAAGACAAATTCCCAAGTAAGTCCTTTGCTTTATTAAGCCCTCAGTATGAGATGAAGTGTCCTTTCACCTCTGTATTTTTTAAACTATCTCACACACTTCAAAACCTGACTAATGAAGGGTAGCCAATTGCTCTGCTTCTTGCTGATAGCCACCAAAAGCTGTCTGCCCCCTCTCGTGCCAACCAGCGGCTTTTTCAGACTGCCGGCCTTCAGCCAAAGATGGACAGAAACAGCCCTACAAAGATGTCTTGGGATCACACTACCGATTGCAGAAACCGGTTTTCTTTTGCATTAAGCACCAGCTATACCTGGGAGAGTCAGCAGCACGAGAGCGGGCACCGAGCTCTCTCCGTGACCGCCGCTGCTCCGGCCCCTCCGGGCCCCGCTGGCCAGCGGGGCCGGCCGCCAGGTTCCGGAGTTATCACGCCGGGTTCTGGGCACGTCGGTTCCCGCGGAGGCCGCGCCCGGGCTCACCGCCGCCTCAGCCGAGCGCCCCATCTCCCGCAGCCCCACTCACGGGCCCACCTGCCGCTGGCAGACGACCAGGGCCAGCCCCGCGCACCTGCGCTCGCCGCAGCGCCGCCACCCCGCAGGCACAGACTCCAGAATCGGGCTCCAGCCACAGTCCTCCTCAAAGCGGCCGAGACCGGGGCGAGGCCGGCCCGGGGCGGGAGCGGGATGCCCGGGGCACGCGCGGGCTCGTGAGGCAGGGCGAGCTCAGGGCGCGCGGGGATAGCCAGGTACGCCGCGTACCCCGCCCGTGCAAACAACACGACGGCCGACGGCCGCTATTTTTTTTTTTCTTTTTTGTTACCTTTTAACCAGCTTTTGGTGGTAACATTTGCAGCCTCCCTCGCAACAGGGCCGCCTCCCTCCCTGTCCGCGCTGAGCACACGTGAGACTCCCGCAAGGACGCGGCCGCACCGCGCCGGGCAGCCCCGGCAGCGCGGGGTGCTTCTCCCAGCGAAAGGAACGCGCTCCCTGGCAGGCGGCCCGGCTCCGCGGCGGGACAGTCGAGCGAGGAAAATAACATACAAGAGCAAAAATCAGTTCCGAAGCGCCACTCAGCGCACCTGAGACACCATTCCGGCTGCTGCCCCGCGGCGCTGCCCCCGGCAGAGGGCGGCCAAGGGTAACGCCGCCGTGCCCGACTGACAGCCGGCCCCGACGGCCTCGGTGCCACCGCCAGCGGAGACAGGCGGCTGCTCGCGGGTGCCGGGCACCGCCGGCCCCGCCGTCGTGCCTGGGCTGCGACAGGCGCCGCTGGGGGCTGCCGCGTGGAAGGACGTCAGCAGCTGCCGTACAAAATACGCGTGCTAGGCGAAATGTCGCCCCACCGCGTGTAATGTTACGGAGATTTCACTGGCAAGCTCTGACACTCTCGCACAGAGAGCGGGTTACTGACCTCCCGCGATGTGCGCGCTCTCCCGGGGCCACAATAAATGAGAGGGACCCCAAACGCGGCCGCCCATCTCCACCCGCAGTCAGGCGCGCCCGCGTGGGGATGCCGCTTAGGGGGAGACCGATGCGCGGATCTTTGCCCGGGGTTGCCGGCCAGGCGGGGGCACACACCAGAGACGCAGCACGGCAGAAGCGGCCGGGTGAGCCGCGGCCCCGAGCCCTCGCTGGCGCGGATCGGACTGGCCCCTCCAACCAAAGGCGCAGCAGCCTGAGCCATACGACGGGGAAGGTCCCGGTCCCCGGCGACCCCGCGGCCGCTCGTCCCCACGCCCGGCGCCGCTCCCGTCCCGCACTCCGCGGGGCGCCGGCGCGGGCGGGCTCCACATTGGCTGTTGCTAGGTGACGTACGCCGCGCCACGTGACCGGTGTTAAATGCCGTCCCGGCGGCGCGCGGCGCGCAGAGTCCGTCCCGCTGGCGGCGGCGGGAGTGCGGCTGCACCGCCCCGGCGGAGCGCGGCGAGCATGGTGGCGCGGCTCTGACCGCCTGTCCCCGGTGGGGACGGCCGCGGGGCGGCGACCCGTGCCCCGGCAGGCGGGGGCGCGGGATGACGGGGGTGCTGGAGAGTCTGATGCCGGACATGCACACCAGCCAGATCTCCGCCGGCAGCTACCACCAGCACGGCGGCCTGCACAAGCCGCAGGAGTCCCCCACGCTGCCCGTCTCCACGGCCACCGACAGCAGCTACTACACCAACCAGCAGCACGGGGCAGCGGGCGGGCCGCCCTACGGCCCCGTGAGCTCCTACCCCTACGCGGGCGGCGGCACCGCCCCCTACTCTGCCAAGGCCGCCTACGACGTGGGTTACGGGGGCGCCTACGGCTCCTACGGGCCCTACGGCAGCAGGGCCTCCCCAGCCAACAATGACTCTGGTACGTCCGAGCCCCGCGAGGGGGACGGCTCGGTGAGCCTGGCGAGGAGGCGATCGGGGCTCTGGACACGGGGTGGGCCGGGAGAGCGCTCGTTCCCGGTGGGTCGCCCCGACGGGGAGGGCGGTGATGCCGAGCTGCGAGCAGGGCCCGAGGTGGCGGGAGCGCCTCGCCTCACTGGGGTTGCCGTTTCTGCCGCAGCAGAGAAGGAAGACTGCGAGCCGGAGATCAGGATCGTGAACGGGAAACCGAAGAAAGTGCGGAAGCCCCGGACCATCTACTCCAGCTTCCAGCTGGCGGCTCTGCAGCGGCGCTTCCAGAAAACCCAGTACCTCGCCTTGCCCGAGAGAGCGGAGCTGGCGGCCTCCCTCGGCCTCACCCAGACGCAGGTAAGGCTTCCGCCGCGGGGCCCCGGGCACGTCCCGCCCCGCCGGGGCCTGTCGCCCTCCGCGGAGTCGGGTGCAGCGTGGGAGGAAGGCCGGCCCATGGCGCCTCGACGGCCCGGGGTGGGAGTGCAGGCGGAGCGGCAGCGCCGCTGAGGCAGCGCCGGGGGCGCTCGGGGCTGCAAAAGCTGCGCGTCCCTGCCCCGTCGCGGGCGGTCTGGGCGCCGAGAAGGCGCCGCAGAGGCAGCGGCCGCCTGACGCCCCTTTCCCCGCAGGTAAAGATCTGGTTTCAGAACCGCCGCTCCAAGTTCAAGAAGATGTGGAAAAGCGGAGAGATCCCAGCGGAGCCGCCTCCCCGCCGCAGTTCTTCACCACCGTCTCCCTCCTCGCCCCCCGCCTGGGACTTCGCTCCGCACACACGTACCGCGGGCGGCGCCGGCACCGCAAGCCCCAGCCCCGCCGCCGCCTTCCTCGGTAGTTACTCGTGGTACCCGCCGGCCCCCGGCGGCCCGGCGCCCCTGCCGGCGGCCGCTCCCCTCCCGCAGCCGACGCAGCCCCCGCATCACCACGGCAGCGGCAATATCTTCTAGGCGCTGCAGCAGAGACTTGAGCCCGCGGGCCGCACCGGCAGCCGCGGGGCACCGACGTGCAGCACTGGTGTTTTGCTGAAGCCTGGCTCCGGCCTCGGCCATCCCGGCGGAGAGGAACTGCTCCGCGCCCCGTGCCGCCCCGTTGCCGCCGGCGGCGGGGCCCGTGTGCATTCGGCCCCGTGGAGTTCTCCCTCCCTCCCGCCGTGAAAACAACCACGCTGCGAAACAAGTACTCACCTCCCTCCCTCCTCTCCGTCTATCTTCCTCCTCTTCCCCGGCGTTTTCATCAAACCATCGGTGCAGAACTCTGGTTAACTTTTTATTTTTTTAAAGTTGACAGGTGCCTTTGCGGATAACCTCACTTTGATGTTGGGGATTAAAAAATAAAACGATTAAAAAAAAAAGATAAATAATTTTTATATGTAGATTTAAAACAGAAGCCTCCCGTGTTTAAGGTATCCGTTTTAGCCGTGAACGAAGCCGTCCGGCGGGGGCGGGGGCCGGTCGCAGGCGGCGGTGCCGGCACGGCTCCCGCCCGTGCGCTGCCTCCGGGCTGGTTCGTGCCCCGACGGGGCTTCCCCGCGTTCGGCGCCAGCCGCAGCGAGCCCTCCTCTCCACCCCTCCCCGCTCTTTCCCCGCCGGCAACCCAGCCACTGACATGCCCCTGATCTGTTTGATGTCTAGCGTCGTGAAAAAAAAAAAAAAAACCACTGTATTTTTGGTTATTTATTATGGAAAACTTATACACTCGTTAATGTTTCTTTTACAATAAGCAGAGAGTATTTAAATAAATTATTGTTTCCATGGTGCCCACGCTGAGTTTTTGGGTGATGGGGAAATTTGAGGGTGTCGATTCGGACCCGGGCGTTCGCTGGGAGGAAGAGACGCGTCCCCTCCACCCCCTCCCCGTTGTAACAGTTGCCGCAAGCCTGCAACTTCCCTCCTCCTTCCCCTCTTTCCCGTCTACAATAAAATCTCGCCCCTGACAGTCTTCTTGGCGAGGCCATGAGTCACTCAGCGCTGCCTGCAGCAGCCCAGAGCTGCCCCCCTTCCCCCTCTCCCGCCTGCTGGCGCCAGCGACATTTCACCCGGGACAAACTGCTGCCGTTTCACAGCTTCCCATGGCTGTCCGGAGGGGTTTGGGGCAGGGCCGTGCCCGGGATTCATAGCAGTCCTGGAGCTGCTTCTCGGGCGCAGCCCTGACCCAGAGGCATTTCGCCTTTTCCCTCTGGGAATGGCAACCAGGCCGGTAACCTGCATGGGGTCTTTGCTTGGGCCAGAGCTGGTGGCTGCCCCAAGCCCCTCTGGGGTACTTCAAGCGCTGGAGGCACGGACGGGACTCTCTGAGATGTGCTCCTTGAGGACAGGACCCCTCAACATGTTCCCCTTTAGGATGCAGCCCTTCAGCTTCATCCCACCTAGCTGAAATCCTCTGGGATGTACCTCGTAAGGGCAGCATCCCTCCAGGCTGAACCCCTTTCCAGGCAGCACCCCCTCCAAGTCTTACTTCATGGGATGTATCCCTCGAGGGCTGGACCCCTCCAGGATGTAACCCTCTGGAACGCTCCTTTGCCCCTCTCTGAGCTGAACCCTCACTTTGATGATCTTCGCTGCACCCTTCGGGGCCGCCCCTCTCGGGATGCCCCCTCCCGGCTGTGCCCCCCCAGGCTGTAACCCCGAGGGCATACCCTGCGGGCTGCATCCCTGGAGGCACTGTTGCTGGAGACGCAAAAGCGGGTGAAAGAAGGGTTCTCTGGCCTTCATCACCAAGAGGACCCCGCCATTCTTGGAGAGGGCACGGAGAGAGAGAGCCGTGATGAAGATCCCATTGCAGACAAGAAGGTTCAGGCCAGCTTGCCTGGGCTCGGGGATGGCCAGCCTGGCCGAGGCTCTTCCGAGAGGCCTTGGCATGAGGAGCCCGGGCGGGGCCGTGGGAGGCGGAGGGGGGCGGCCTCACAAGGAGACACGTCGGGAGGAGGGGGGAAAGAAGGGGGAAAAGAAGGAGGGGGAAAGAAGGGGAGAAAGCGGGAGGGCAGATTGCTTCTGAGAGCTTGGGGAAAGCTTGGGGGCAAGGGGAGGCGGGGGTCGAAGGAGGAGTGAAGAAAAGCGAAGAATGACGGGGGCACGTTGGAAGACGAGAGTCGGGTGCAAAGAAAGCGAGAGGAGGGAGTGGGAGAAACAAAGGGGAAAGAGGCAGCTGCCCTCCAGCGCCGGCGCTGACCCGGCGGCGAGGACGGGGACGAGAGTCCAGAGCCGTCCCAAGAAACAGCGGGGTCGACTCACCCCATATCTTTCCCCTCCTTCACCCTCCTGCCGGCCGCGGGCCACTGGTGGCAGTGGCCTCAGTCGCCCGCTCGGACCGGGGAGAAGAAACTTCCCCACTGGCGGACGGCGAAGCGCTGGGGCGGCGAGCACGGAGCGGGGCGGCACGCGTGGCGAGCAGCAGCGCGGAGCCCCACGCCCCCGTGGTCCAGCAGGAGCTGTGTTCCCGGCAGCGCGGTGTTTCCGCGGGCTACGAAGGGGGGGCGGAAGGGGAGGAAATGGGATGCACCCCTTTGGCAGGTGACAAGTTTTGCTAAATCGGTCGTCCGGGATGCACGAGGAAGCCGTGGGCGCGGGCCACGGTCGGGACGGAGATGATTCCCGTTCCCTCCCTGTCCCTCTGCCCCACCGCTTTCACAGGCGCTTCTCGCAATTAAATAAAGTTCCCCCCAAACATCTGCGCCCCGGTCTCTCCTGGCCCAGTGTCTCCAGTCCGATGTAGCATTGTGGCTCTGGGTGTTGCTCGGTTCCGTGGGGTCTGGCAGGACGCCGACAGCTACGTGGGGTCCCTGGGACAGGGACTGCCCAACAGGGGAACGCTATCATCGGTCGGGGAGCAGAGCACACCACACCCAGTACGGGAGCCTCCGTGCTTTCTTTCTGTTATTTAGTATTTTTTTAATATATTGATTACTATTTATTTGTTGTCTGCTGGTAGCAGTCCTCTTTGGGCTGTCCTCACATGGTGTATGTGATGGGGTTTTTCGTCCTTCAGCATCCCCGTATGTCCCAGAGCCCTCCCAGGGTCCGCATTTCCCCCGCTGTTCGCATGCCAGAAGCGGCTCACACCGTGCGGGGGCCGGCGGCGGCAGCGGACGCAGAGGCGCAGTACTGCAGCTCCCGCGAGCACCGCAGATGCATATGTATAGAGACATGCGTGTGTTTGTAACCTGTTTTCTTCTGCTCTTTTCCTGTCCCATGGGACGGGGCAAGCACCGCTGAGAACCATAATCCCTCTCACAAGTTGCACCGGGATCGGCCTCCCGAAGCCGGCCAAAGTCGCGGGGAGCAGGGTACCCGGGGGGAGAGATGTCCCGACCTCCGCAGCACTCCGGGAAGGACTGATGAGGGGAGGAGGGAGCCTGGGGGTGGGGGGGCTGGGACCAATCCACCCCACGTCCCAGAGCCGAGCTTCCCCCTTCCGCCCCCCGTCGGGCCTGGTCCCGGCTGCGGGCCGGGGGAACGGCTGAGCGGGGCCGGTCCCGGGGGGGCGACCGGGGTAAGTGACGGTTCCGCGACCAGCCTGGTTCGGGATGGCGGCACGGCAGCCTCTCGGCCGAGGGGGCACCCTCTGCCCCCCCGGAGCACGGGCGGGGCTGGCCGGGCTCGTACCGTGGGGAGGCAATTTACTCATTTGCCCGGTGAAAAGAGAAAGCACGAGAAATTCAATTAAAGCGGCTCTGGCAAAAGGAGTTATTTGAGGCATGAATGTCTCCCCTAAAGCTGCAGCAATCATGTGGCATTAGACACTTCCGGAATCCTATAGCCAACTTGAAAAATCCCAGACCCCTTTTTTCCCTAATTTTTGCTCTGATCTGTAATTTTATCCACATTTGCACTAGTTTGAGCATTCTGGCTCTCCCATCTGAAAGCCTGCAATTACTATATAATTCTTCGCAATTTCACATGTCCTAATATGGACTGTAATTTTTGCGCAAGACAATTTCCTGCTATTTCAAGCATCAACATTGTCAAAGTTGTATGTACATAATAAATGGGAATATCAATGCATAGTTTTTAGCATAACATCTTGACTCCTCGATAATTATATCCGTTCGGAGCCTACGCAGAATTAGCCTGAATTGCATGGTAACTGCTGCTGCTTTAAAATTTTTAAAAATTACTCATAATTTTCCCAAAGATTACCAAGATCTCGAGTGCACAATGTCATCAGCGTAATGAAGAGTAAACATTTATGCTAATAATCTGCAATTTTTTTCATCAGCTATAAAGACAGAGGCTATATAGCAGAAAATTTCAGTCATATTCTGCAAGAGCAGAGCTGCAAAAAGGCTGCTGCGCTCAGAGGCATGTGCATCTCTGGGGGATCTCAATCCACATTTGCACTCTCAGGATATTATTATTGTGCTCGGCTTCTTTTTTTTTTTTTTTTTTTTTTTCTCTCTTTCTTTCTCCCTCCCCGATCCTCTCCCTCTCTCTCACACTCTCTCGTTCTTCTAACTTTCGTAGCAAAAAGCCGCCTTCGGTCCTTTGGTTTGTTGTAAAGCAAAGACTTGTGCCCAGAGCCTCAGGGACTGAGGCGGAAGGTAAGGGTGGCGACACAGGCTCCTTTCTCCCGGGGGTAGGTGAGTGTACGGGGCGCGGGCCGGGAGAGGGGGGAAATACCGGCGGCGGCTCCGCAGACCCAGTCTCTCCGCAAAACCGCCCGCCGGCGGCGCCGGGGCGAGGAAGGGAGCGGGGCGGCGGGCCGGGAGACGGGGGTGCCGCGCACAGCCGAGCCGCGCCGCGCCGGAGCATCCCGCGGGCCGAGCCGCGCCGAACCGCGGAGCGCAGCGCGGGCGGAGCGGCGCGGGGCACTCGCCACTCGGGACCGCCGCGCTGCCGGGGGCTGCCGGCGCCGGCGGGCGCTCGTTTTCGGCCGTGGTTTCGTGGTGTGCGTTTGTCGGTGCCTTGCGAAGGGGAGCGTTACTGCCCGGTGCCGAGCCGGGAGGCGGGGGGGGGACGGCGCCGGTGCAGAGGGGGACATGGCACTTTTTCACTGGCATGAGAGTGGCGGTGGCGGCAGGAGCGGGGTTAGGAGGGCGGCAGCGGGAGAGCGGAGCGGGGATTTCTTATCCCCCTCTGTCAAACGAAGGGAGCAAATTCCGAATGCAAACGGGCTTGGGCTCTGATATTTGATTTTTTTCTAGTTTCAGGGGCAGCTCTGTGCTCTGCAATTAGATTGACACATGTACAACATCCCCGGCTATTCAAGGGGGTTCGCAGGGACACTCCAAGGGGATTTTTTTTTTCCTTTTTCTTTTTGGGTGGAAGATATTAAAGAGGTATCTGTTGTTTGGCAATTTTGCTAAGTCTGTCTTCATTACTTCAACATTGTGCATTTGCTAATTTGGAAGCCCCTTCCTATTGACAGCTCTGCTCCATACACCTGCAAGCAATTTGCAGAGCTCCAATATAGGAGAATTGCAGAGATGGCAGCTCGCACCTATTTTATTTTTTTTTTTCTTCGCTTTTCTCAATGCACAGCAAATTTGGCTTTCAGTGCGTTATCTCTTTTGTTAATGCAAAAAGATTCCCTGGGCGAAAAAATTGCTCATAATTACCAGAGAGATGGGGAAACTGCATTAGAATAAATAAACCTGAAATTACTGTAATTATGTTGTGTTTGATGGGCTCGGCTTGTAATCAAGAAGAGAATACAGTGAAATGATGCTGACCCTCTTGGGTTTGCAGCTGTACGCGCACTTTGAGGTCTTTTTTTGCAGAAAAGAGTCATTTTGATCATCATTAAGCTGTGTGTAACCTATTTCAGAAGTGTTTGAAAATGAGGGGCACTTTTTTTTTTTTTTCCCCAACAAGGAAAAATATATCCCAAAATTACATTTTGCCATTTACGAGCACATCCATAAGGTTGTATTTGCCGGGTGACAATTGGTAAAGGTATAATATTCAAAATCAGGGCTTAATCATTGTAATGAGGTATTGTTTCAATATAAGCACCTTTGGATTATTCATAGTTTAATTAATATCCTCATTATGAAAATCTTCGAATCAGATATTTGATGAACTACTTGTCAGCAACAAGGCAGAATTAATTAGGCCTGTATTGAGATTAACATTTTCAAATGTACAATTATAATAGTCTCTAACTCAAGACCGCCTCGCTGTGAGAAAACTGATAATTTCTCTATTTGAACTGTTAGCAAGACGTTATTGAATTAGGAGACGCTAATATATCTTTAAAGCCCTTCGAGCTGCTTGACCACCCCTCTTTGGCCCGGTCAAAGGCGTTCGGTCCCCGGCAGAGCCGCCGCAGGAGCTGTGTGGGTCCTGGGGCGCTGCGGGGCCGCGGAGCCCTCCGGCTCGCTCGGGACTTCGGGCCGCTGGGGACCAGACTCGGGCCGTGGCACTGCGGGAAATGCGGGAAATGCGGGAAATGCGGGAAGAGCTGCGGAGCGTTTGCCGTGTCGGATCCACACCCCCGCGGGTGCGCGCTCGGGCGGCTGCTGCGCCGCCGCGCATCGGGGAGTGGGTGCGTATCGCGGGGCGAGTGAGCGTGGCCCCCGGGGGCTGCACAGCCGATCCCCCGCGGAGCCTGCGCGCAGAGGTGCGCACGGGCAGCCGGCCGAGCCCAGCCGCTGCGGGCTCCCTCCGCTCTGCAGCGCGTTACCCTCCCCAGCGTAGCCGCGGGCTGTGCCGGGGCTGCGCCAGCCCGGGGAGCGGGCACGGCTCAGTCCAGGGCTGGATGACCGCGGCGGTACCGGCGCAGCTTCGCCTCCCGTGGGATGCGGGGGCAGGCAGCCGGCTCGGCTGTTGGGACGGGGGCCGGGGCTCTCCCGGCTTGACCACATGCCCATCCCCGTCCCGGCAGCTGTGCCCGTTTCCCCCCGGCTCCGAGCGGCCCCTCCGCCGAGGGTCCCCCGATCCATCGCGACGGCTGCCGCCGCCTAACTGGGCCGGCTGGGCCCACGGGGGACAGGCTGTCCTGTCGGGGCCGCGTCGCTCCTCCGTGTCGCCTCTCGGTTACGGCCACCGCCGTCCCCTCTCGGTTACGGCCATCCCGCTGCCGGCCGCGTTGCGGGACAGGGAGCACGCGCGTCTCTTTTTCCAAACCATAATTTTACTGTCTTAAAGAAACTTTATAACTTATGTACAAAGATTTGTGTGGGTTTTTTTCCATTTCCTCCCCCAGATACAAAGCAATAAGTTAACATTCTCAATATAAAACTAAACTTTGACATATAGAACACTAAACACAGCCGAGCTCAGTTTATCACATTTTCCGAATTCACAAGTAAAATGTCAAGATCTCAGTACACAAAGCATCATGTTTTACAGCCACACGAAACAGAACAGAAATAATAATAATAATAATAATAATAATAATTAAAAAGGCTAAATTTGTGCAACATGTTTACAGAACAATAATAATAATAATAATTAAGAATAAAATATGTACAGCGAGTAGCTCCTGCACGTCGATTTGTGCATTTCAACTTCGGGCCGACTTTGCGCGGGGAGGCCACGCCGGGACCCCGCCCTCCCGTGGGTCCCCCCCGCCGCCCTCCGGGCTGTCGTGCCGTCCTCTGCGCCTTGCTTCACCTCAGCAAAGCGCCGGCAGCTGCTGCAATTCCACTTCAGAGTACCAAACAATGTGCATTTATTTCCTTTGTTAAATACTTGAGAAATGCAAATCATTCGGACCAAAATTTTCCACATCAGCGAAGTATAAAAGTTACTGTAAAAGTTAAAATCGCATCCTTCCCTCGTGGTGATTTACTCGGGGAGAAGGAGGGGGGAACGGGACGACGGACAGTCTGTGGTTTTGTTTAAACTGTGCGTCCAAGCAGTACACTCAGCGAGCTGAGTTTGTTCCTAGCACTCTCATAGTGGTAATTTAAAACAATAAATAAACCCCCTGTCTTCCCCTTTTAACAACAACAAAAAATATACAGATGGATAGTGAAAGGTACAGAAAATGTCGCGGGAAGGAAGCTCTGGTATATTGTACAGATTCCTTCCCGCTTGCAGTTTAAAAGACGGTCAGATCGGGGTAGTAAATAAATGACCTACATTTCAACAGACACAGACAGACAGACAGGACAGAGAGGGCTTCCCCGCCCCCCAGACATCTTTTTCTGATTGTCCCACAAAGCCGCGGCCGGCGCTCGCTCTGCTCCCAGGCTGTTGTGCGGTGCTCGGGGCCGCTCCGTCAGCTGTCAGCGGTGGGAACCGGCCCGCATCACATCTGTGCTCTCCTGCACCGAGCTACCGTGCAGCGTCCTAATGGCTGGATGGGCAAGAGACCTCCTGTTTGTTTGTTTGCTTGGGTTTCTTTTGTGGGTTTTTTTTTTAATTTTAATTCTCCCCCTCTTTCCCCCCCTTTTTTTTTTTTTTTTTTTCTTTTTTTTTTTTTTGGGTTTTTTTTTTAATTTTAATTCTCCCCCTCTTTCCCCCCCTTTTTTTTTTTTTTTTTTTCTTTTTTTTTTTTTTGGGTTTTTTTTTTAATTTTAATTCTCCCCCTCTTTCCCCCCCTTTTTTTTTTTTTTTTTTTCTTTTTTTTTTTTTTGGGTTTTTTTTTTAATTTTAATTCTCTCCCTCTTTCCCCCTCTTTTTTTTTTTTTTTTCTTTCCTTTTATTTGACTTAGTGTCTTTTTTTTGTTTTGTTTTGGTTTTTTTGTTGTTTTTTTTTTTTCCTGTAATAATTTTAATTCTTTTCGGGACCGATAGTGCTTGCGTTAGGGGAAAATGTATATATAATCACATCAGTTGCGGCTGCTGCATAGCTTCTTGGTGGGCCGAAGGGTACCACGACGTGTAGCTGGGGATGTAGGTGCCCGGGGTCCCCGACGAGGCCTTACCGGAGGCGGAGGTGGTATTCCACACTGGAGGCACGGGTGGCGAGCTGCCCGAGAGAGCCCTGCCGTTGGTCAAGGCGCTGCTCTCCAGGGCGGCCCCTCCTTGCTTCATAAGCTTCTTGAATTTGGAGCGCTTGTTCTGAAACCAAATCTTCACCTGCAAAGGGGAGCGGAGCAGGGTTCAGAATCCCTCGGTACGGTCCAGCATCCCTCCATCCCTCCCAGGGCACGACGGACCCCCGCATCCGGCGGTCCCCCAGCTTCTCTCCCTCATTTCCCCCCCACTGCTGTGTTACTTTGTGACGCCAAGCCACCCAGCAGGAGCCCCCGGGCCCACTGCAGCGGCCTTTGCGGGGGCTTCCACAGCACCGGGAGCGCCCCGCGGCGGGACGGGTGCCGGCGCCGCCCGGGCCCCGCTGCACGGGGCTGTGACCCGTGCGCGTTAACGCGCGTGGCCTCCCACGCTCACGGTGGGGACACGGAGGGGACACCAGAGAGGGGCCGACTCAGTCGGAGCTGTACCTGGGTCTGGGTGAGTCCCAGAGAAGCTGCGAGCTCGGCTCTTTCGGGGAGAGCCAGGTACTGAGTCTGCTGGAACCTCCTGTTCAAAGCCTGTAGCTGCAAACTGGAGTAAATAGTCCTGGGTTTGCGGATTTTTTTCCCTTTCCCATTAAAACGAACTTCCCCTCCTTCTACCACAGTGCTTTTCTCCGATTCGGCCCCTACAAACAACAAACGATGCAGAATAAATAATAATAATAGCAGAGATAGCAATAATAGCAGTAACAGTAATAGCAGCAGCAGCAGTAACAATAACAACAGCAACATCGACAATAACAATAATGAGAAGGAAGAAAAGTGAAGCTCGAGTAACGCTAACAAAGGCTCCGGACGATTATGGCAGCCCAGGCTTCTTCCCAGCGAAAGTTTGCTATTTTTACAGGCTGCAGTTTAGGTTTAATTATCCTTAATTGCATACATTGTTTATAGCGCTACGCAATAAATAATTACGAAGACTAATACGTGCACATCTGGGTTGGTTTCTTTTCCAGCCAAGCATTGTGTGCTCTGTGTATTGCTCCCCTGTGATTCTCAGCCTATCTTGACTAATATTTTGTAATTTAATTTAATTTTTTTCCCCCGATAGATTTTTTTTAATACAACACCCTCCCTCCCTCCTTGCCTTCCCTCCTCCCCTCCCCCCCCCTCCCCAAAGCCGAGTGCACCTACCTGTCTCCTCTAACCGGGTCTGAGTCAGGCTGGAGCTGTTGGGGTAGGACTGCACTGAACTGATGTAGGGGTTGGTCGAGTGGCTGCTGACCGAGTTCACATAGGGGTAGCCCAGCGGTCGGGAGAAGGACGAAGCTGTGCTGTACGAGCTGTCAGGCTGAGAGTGGCCCGCGGAGTGTAAACAGTGCATGGAATAGTGTCCGTGGGACATGGGAGAAGGAGACATTTGCTGGCTGGGCGGCCCAAACTCCATAAAGACAGCCTTCCCTGAGACGGGGCTATTTAGACTCTCTGGCATGGTAGTCATGGTCATTTCTTGTCGCTTGGTCTGTGTGTGTGTTCTCTCTTCAGCTTGCCTTTTTGGGGTCTGTTGTGTTTCTCAGGACAGGAAAGAACCCAATTTAAGCGAAACAGGGTTTTTCACTTTCCATTCATAAGAAAATGGAGTTTGTCCCTTTGAAAAGTCTAAGCATGATGCTGTAGATCTACACAAACTCGCCTAAAAGCTTTGACTCAGCCAAGTCTATGAATATTCATGAGACGGCGGAGCTGATTGGTCCGCCGTCTTGCATAATCGCTTTGGATTGGTCCGAGGCGCTCGGGGCTCGCCCGGACCCCGGTGAGCGCGGAGAGCCGGGCTGGCAGCGCCGCGCTTGCCCGAGGCCCGGGAACCCGCTCCCATGGCAGGCCGCCCGCTCCCGCCGCCGGCCACCGAAGGCGCCGATCCGGACTTTGGCGGAAGGCACCGCAACCCCCCTCCGCCCTTCTCCGCCCCTCGCCGCGAAGGATGCGCGGAGGGGACAGCAGCCGCGCTCGGCCGGCCTCGGCGGGCTGCACGGGTTTTGCAGCTGCCCGCCCCGCTCCGGCAGACGGCGGCGGGACCCGCGGACAAAGCGAGCGGCCCCCGCCCGCCGGGCCCCGCGCTCCCCGGGAGCGAGGGGCTCTCGGGCCCGGCCCGCGGGGCCCAGCGCCGTCCGCAGCTCCAGATCGCGCCGCCCGGCTACTGCCGTTTTCGCTTTAAAGGGAAAAAAAGCCATCCAACCAACCAAAGTCCCCCTGAAAGGGCCCAACGGCGCATTCGAGCTTAAAATGAAAACTTCCACGTGCGTGAGCAGTAAATGAGGTGGGACTTAGGAGATCCTCCCCAGAAAGCCTACGATGAATCCCAAATTACTTTGCTAGATAATTAGAAAGTGTTGATAATTATTTCTTTCATAATTCTGCGGTGTGACTGTAACAGGAAAATGATCTTGTGAAAGTTCACACGTGCAGATGTATTAGTTACTGATTCATTTGATTAAATGCTAGTCTCAAGTGCTCTGATCCACAGCTGAAGGCGGCCCCATTAGCATAACACTGATGTTTAATTTTCATACGCATAATTAGCCATATATTTAACACTAATAGCAACATGCAGCCTTCCAGCATTAAACAGCCTGGGATTTGATCTGGCCTGGGCTGAACTTTCCCGGTTACACCTAGGCTGTCTAGGGTGCGCAGTTATCACTGCACTACATCTATGTAATCAAGCACATTTTGGCAAAGGGAGAACACCAATAAAAATGAACATTCAAAACAAATCGCAGCGTTGATGTCGTTAGAGGTACTAGCGCCGGCAGCGGGGCTTGGGCACCCGCGGCGGAGCGCGCACAGTGTTCAGGCTCCTTCGGGCAGCGACGGCCCTTGGAGCAGCCGACCCCTGACTGTGCAAAGCTGGCACAACCGAGCCCCTCTGCTCCCTTTTTTTTTTTTTTTTTTCTCTCTCTCCTTTCATTAGTGGCTCTGTCGGTTTTAATTGCCCGTTTCCTCACGACGCTTTTACCTCCTTGCCCCCCCGCCCCTTTTTTTCCCCCTCGATGTTTTGGGTTACTTTTTTTTTGTTGTTGTTGTTTTTTTTTTTTTTTTTTTTTTTTTTTTTTAATTTGCTCGCAATGCGCTAAGTTCATTCTCACTAACTCTCCGAGGCTTGGCGCAGAAGGGGCAGGGACGGTGTTTCCGTACTCACACGGTGCCCCCCGCCAGCCAGCTCTGCCCTCCTGGCCATGGAAGTGACCACCCGAGGCGGGTCAGCGAGCGTGGCCGGGCAGGGAACAGGGCGCCCGGGCAGCTCCGGCACCTTCGCCGGCCTCAGCCTGACAACTGCAGAGAGCCGCTCCGCGTCCGCCGGGACTGCCGTCTTCTCCGATCGGCCGCACACAAGCAGTCCCGGGGCGAGCCACAGTTCCCCCACCCTCGCCAAAACCCCGCGGTCGGTGAGGCTCTGCTCGCCCCCGTCCTGCAGAGCAGGGCCCCCGCCCCTCGGTGGTCCCGGTGAGCGCGGCTTCGGCGGGCGCCGAGGGGCCACGGCCGCAGGGCGTCCTGACCCCGCGGGAGCGACTGCCACGTCGGGGCTCTCATCGTGCTGGCCCGGCAACACCTTCTGCATGATGGGCTTGTGCGAGGCCCTGGCTGTCCCCGAACAGCCGAGACATCTCTTCAGTCTCGTTCGTAATTAGGATTACAAAGGTGCTCTATCAATGCCTCCGCCTGGCCGCCAGCGCTCCGCAGCGGCCGGTAAAACTCGCAGTCCCAGCAGAGTCACCGGCGGGACTTCAGAGCGCAATGATTACCAGGAGCTGCCGGCAGTCCCCCTGCGATGGGCTGCGGGGGGTTCCCTGCTCCCGGTTGCCCCGTTCCCGCTTCATCCCACGCCGCGGTAAGAGCAGGACAGGGGCAAAGGGCAGAGGATGGTGAGAAACACGGCACCTGCGGTGCCATCCAGGGGCTCCCGGCGCGGCCAAAATCCACGGGAGGCACCTCTAGTGCGCCTCCCGGGACGCACCGGACACCCTGCTGCTCCCAGTGCCCCTCAGAACCGGCAGCGCGGCTGAGCGATGGAACGTAAGGGAGCAAAATACATGCCCCTCCAGGCAATGCTGTCCTTCGCACTGTTTAATCTCTGCGTATTTGTAAACTTGGCTGCATTGTTTGTTTTGCAGGTTTTATGGCCTTCCAAGCTCCTCTCGGGGAGGATGAAGCTGAGTGGCTGCCCCGCAGTGTTAGCTGTATTCAGGGAGGGGGTCCCTGCTTTTTGAAAAGCTGCTGTTAGAAACTATTAGAGCTGAGAGCTCACTGTACTTGAACGGAAGTAAACAGCAGAGTAGAGCTGTAAGACAGCAGCTTACTTCTGTCCAGGACCACTGAGGGAGCCAGTGCTGAGCCACTCTGGTTGCCCGAATGTGCAACCGGCCAGCCCTCAGCATGCGACCTTCTCTGCCTGCAATGAGGGCCAAGTCACTTGTACCAAACAGCACAGCACCACTGTTGCCATAGGCCTGGGGAACTTCTGGAAGTCCTTTAATTATCTCCAAGGCTACCCCACATTTTACAGTCCCAGGTCCTGCTCTGGTAGCCTCCAAATATCAGTGCGAGACTTGTTTGGTCCCACGGGGCGGTCAGCAACTGGCTAAAGTGCAAACCAACCCCTGCATGCCTGGCAGGCCCAGAACAGGACTGCAGAGAGCACAGGGCTGAGTGAGACCGCAGCTCATGAGGTCCGTCGGTTCCAAACTCTGTGCAGGAGTCAGGACTCATCTTCCAGACTGCAAACTCCTCTGCTTCCATAAAATGCTTAAACTGTAGAGTACCTCTCCCTTAACCAACATGGGCACCACAGAGCAGTGATTACCCCAAACTGGCTAATTTTTCAAGCAGGGCAATTATTGATCCCTAGAGAGATGTGCTTTGCATCTCATTTTTAATCACTTTTTGTGCTGTGTAAAAAGAGGCAAGAAGCAGGGGATTGCTGCTGGGAATGATGCTGGGAAGAGTCTGCTCCCTCTGCCTGACACTCTCAGGAAACTTTTTTCCATCCTAGTAGAAGTTACAGCCTGGGAAACAGCACTGTGCTAATCACAATGAAGACAAATTGACTCCATGCCTCAGCTATAAAGGGAAAATGCCATGTTTCTCTGTCCTCTCAACTGCTTAAAGACTGTATCATCTGATATCTATTTGCCCCACATAGGATTTGGAAGAAAGGGGTGCCACTTTCTGCCCCTAACCCCAAATAACCCAAACCCTTTGCCACTTGCAGACTGGGCATGGCTGCTCCTAGGGTCACAAAAAAAACCTAAAGACTTTTATTAAATACTCACCAGGTAATACACAGAAAGAACTATGTCCAGAGCCAACCCCTCAAATTGCTTTTTCTGTCCCCTGGAGTGACTTATGCAACAGCCATTCCCCTCAGAAATTATAGAAACCTCTTCTCTGTCCCGAGTAAAACTTGAAATCCCAGAAGTACAGCAAGTCTCTCCACTCCTTGCTCCATCTTTAGGCTTCTTCCACCAGTTTAGTGAGGATTTCTGCTCCCTCTGAGGTAATCACCAGGGTATGCTCAAATTGTGCCGATCTGAAATTCACATTTAGCAGTCATGAGGGGGAAAACACATGCACCATGCCTGGAAACTCATCTGTTTGGGTTTTTTGGGCTGTCAGTGATGAGTTCCATGTCTTAGGAAATACCAAAAAATAAAATCAGGCACCTTTTATTGTCGACAGAAATTGCAGTCCATTTGTCCTCCAGAATCTTAAATTCAGGGGATCCTTCCATTATTATTGGCTCTGCAGCAAGAAAAACAAAATGTATTCTAAAGTTAGTTGCACTCCTGTATGGATTGTGAAACAATCAAGAAAAGCGGGGCAAGTAGCTCCCCTTCCACACAGGTCCCATCTCCCTGGGCTGGCATTCTCTTGACACACTAAAATGTGAACTAAAAAGGAAGACAAAATAGCAAGGTAGGAAGTTGCCCATTTCTCTTTTGTAAAAGCATGGAATTTTAATCAAGCTTTAATTAAGACCGTGAGGATAATAACCAAAGCAACAACCACATTTATAAACAACAGATAGTTTTAAATATTTGAATTTTTAAAACAGGCTTAAAATGTTCATTAAATCAGCAAAACAACAATTTTCTTATTTCCTTCTAATTGCCGTGCCATTTAGCCACACAGTGAGAACGAAGGCTTTCCCCTCAGCAGTTCTCCACGACTAGAAGTGAGCACGATCAGTCTGCGGGGCGAGGCTCCGGCTGGTTACCGCCGCCGCAGTCCCCAAACCCAACAGCAGCTCTGGAAGGCAGCGAATGACTAAGTGCCACCAGGCTGCTCGGCTTCGGGGACACGATCGCATCCTTCTCACCCTCCTCAAATCAAGTGCGCGGGCAGAGTCTCTGCCTTGCCAAAAATAGGAGTCAAATATTAGCAAAATTTATAATTAACATTTCATTCTTTAAATCTTGTAATTTGAAAATTATTTAATCCTAACAGTTTCTAATGCGTTTTTAAAAATTGTATTTTAATCTGTTTCCTAAGAGGTCAATCTCACCGACGTCCCCCTGTCTGCACGGTTATTTCTACATCCCAATAAAGAAATAGAAATGTTACAGATCTGGGCTGCTCCGTGTGTGCTTTTTAGTAGAAAACCATAGCAGAGAGTTACTAACCTATTGTGAACGCCATTCCCTCTTCCATTAACAAATCACTGTCATTGGCTACAAAAGGAAAAAAAAAAACAAACCCGCGTTTTTGCATCTTGGGTCTTTTTTTTTTTTTTTTTTTTTTTAGAGAACGCAACCAAGCCCTTTGTTTAAACCCCTTTTTAGCTCGCAGGTACTGTGCACCCGAGCCCCGTTATGAGCCGGAGCACCCGCCGAAAGCGATCCCACCCCGGCCGCAGCGAGACCACCCCGACGGCGGCTCCGTCCAGGCCGGGAGCCTGAACGTTTTAGCAGAGATTTTTCTTTGCCCCGTGACAAAGTTTGCCGGCGCGGCTCGGGCGCGGGCGGGATGCGGAGCGGGACAGGGCGGCCGCCGCCCGGAGCGGGCGGGGGAGGCGGTCCGCGGTGCTCGCTGCCCCGGCAACTCCGTTAACGAGCGACTTGTCCTCATAAATACCCACGCGACCCTCAGAAAACGAGGCTGGTGATGTCCTCCAGCTTCCCAGCGATTTAATCTCCCCACCGGCAATCCCCCGCCCCGCCGGACCGGCAGCATGCGTGGGGGTGTGTGTGTATGTGTGGGGCTCTGCTCGCTTTACCGCCCTCCCTCTCCCCCTCCCCGGAGCCCTCTCACCGCCCGGGCGGAGCGGAGCGGGCAAGACGGGCCCGGCGGGCGGGGGCCACTTACCGTGGTGCCACACCTCGGGGTGCCCGTGAAAGTACGACCCGATGCCGTGGCCGACGAAGAAGGGGCAGACCTGGAAGCCACCTTGCCATGCCAGGGAGCTGCGGGGGCAAAGAGGATCTGTCAGGGTGCGTGCCCCCACCACCAGCCCCGCTAGACGGCCCCAGCCCCTGCTACCGCGTTGCTACCGACACCGGGTCACCACTTTGCCACCGTTCCGAAAGAGAGTCATTGAAGGGAGCACGGCTGAGCCATTGTTAGGTTTCAGAGTTAACATGCCTGCCAACAGAGGCTGGTAGCTCCTGTGCCAGCCCTGCTAAGTAAAACGGCAGTGTGTTGTCTCCCTGCTCGATGGAGGGTAACCTTTTCCACAAGCACACTGAGAACTCATTTTAAGATGGCACAGCTGAAGTTGCCAAGTTGGGCAGCCAAGGCCTCAGCATAGCACCAAACCACAGCCTCTGCCGAGTTCCCTGTAAGTGCAGAGTCTGTGCTGGGCTGCATACCCAAGGCCTGCACTGGGTTTCCTGCAGGAGAAGAGGCTCCTGCTGCCAACAGGGAGAGTTAAGAGCCCCTCTACTTCGCTTTCATAATACTTCAAACATTTAGTATAAAAATGTATTGAAAGTTCAGCAAATAGATGTATGCTAAATAACAAGGTATTTCTAATGAATCTATTGCCACAGAGGCAAAACCAAATAATAACAACTACCGTATTTCAGTTCTGCCTGAGAGATGTGCCCTGCCTTTCATGGCCTGCCTCAGGGAGAAGCATCTCTGAGAACAGCCTTCAGGACCATGGCTGAGCACTGATCCCTACCCATGGTAGGAAAGCAAATTCCTATCCCAGTTCCCCAAAACTGGAGGACCTGGAGATACATGGGGTATGCTCTGGCTGCTGGCGCACCCCACGTCTGCAGGCTTCACTTTCAGGGACTCGCTGTACTCAAGCAGTGATGGAGGCAGTGGTGGACACAGTGATTTGAGGCAGCTCAGCCAGGAGGCCTGCCCATATCCAAACCAGAAAAATGCAGAGATTCATGAAGATCTGGAGATGGATTAGAAGTGACAAGAAAGTTATCCTTGTCCCTGCATACCACCCCCATCTTATTTCTAAAATCAAAGCAGGACAGGAACACCCTTAGCCTGAAGAGATTTTGCCTATAACATTAAAAGCTTCATTTGCTTCTTTGAATGAAGGTAGGCACTGAACAACTTCAGGTTTGTCTGTATTTACATCTTAGGAAATGCTCTCTCACAGTTTCACTACAGGTAGAAAGCTGGAAAAGTTAGAAAACTCAACTAAAGGTAAAGCTGTTGCAGAAATTAAAGCCTGTTAATCCCCACGGGGTAGCTTTTATTCAGGTGCAAAGTGGCCTCAGCTTGCTGTACAAAGTAATCACCTTTGCACACCAGGCTCCACAGACTCTGCAGTGCTGGCTCCAGTGCCCATGGGTCATCGTCCCAGAATTTAATGCCACTCAATTGAGGGACATGCTGCTCCACCACAGTTAAATGGCAATGAGAGACTAGAGTTGGTTAATGCTGCAGTGTTCAGACCTTAGAACGTGTTTTAACAGGATTCGTATATTACCTTCTACCTTTTTATTGCTCTGATAAAAAGACTCATCACATTTCTTCATTAACTCTGGAGAAAAATAGAAATTTCAGGTTTAGGTACCCCCAAAGTACTGGCAAAGTACTGGCAAAGAGGATTACCGATAAAGCTAGAAATTGGGGGTTAATTTGTTTGCACTCGAAGTCCAGGCTTTATAAACAATTTATATATACATCAACTTTATACATCAATTATTTTGAAAAAAAACTGATAAAGGATTATGCAATGAGAAGTCCTACTAGAGACAGAAAACAAAACTTTCTTCCCTGCCTTTCTATCATGTTCCCCATATCTGGGTCAGAGACTTGGCCTGCTGGCTATGATGCTGCTGAAGGTCAAGCAAGAAGTACAGGGAATGGCGATGAGTTAGAAAGCCAGATTCCTCAGAAACATACAAAAATTCCAAGATCTCCAGTGACCAAGCCCAGAGCAATGCAGATGATGATTCCCATATGAGTGAAGTGATTCTCTGAAGAGAGAAAGGAGAAACCATTCATGCAACATGTGATAAAGTTTTTTTCATCTTCTTCTGCCAGTCTTTTTGCAAAATCATAAAAAATCACACTAACTGTTCAGCTTTGCTGATGTCCTTACATGGCATCCCTGACCACTGACAGAGCATGGTCAGTTTTTGTATTACTACAGGATTTTTTCTTCCAGAAAAATCCATGTTCTGTAGCAAAACAGAAATAGTTTCTCTCTGTGCATCTGTTCTTCGGAGCACCATGGCTGGATACTTTCCAGTGAGCAGGGGAAGCTCCAGCCTCAGCATTCAGCTGCTGCCAAGGAGGGTGGCAGTAGCAGCAGGAGCTGTGTTTGGCACCAAGTGCACAAGCACCGGGGCACACAGAAGGCAGTGTTACAACAGTATCCCGTCCTCATGCAGTCAAAGAAATGGTTCACATGCATCTCAACAGCGAATTCTACCACTTTCTTGCCAAACAGCTTGAAAACAACTCTGTTAGCATCAGTACTTCAGTGGTTACTGTCTGTCATCAAAAGAGGGGATCCCGGAGCTCACAGGGCTTTGACTTCTACACTGATAGACACTGTGCCCCTCCTTCTGCCCTCTTGTTCACATACATAGCCTTGGTATTCTCTAAATAAAACATAACACGGTCAACAGACCTGAAGTAACACACAGAAAATAAGCTGCAGGTATGAAATTCAGCCATTTTCAATCTGGTTTTAGTATTTGCACGTGCTTCAGGCGTTTCTCTCCACAGCTACTAGCTTTACTTTGGAGTTTTTAATAAATCCTAGTGAGGTTTTACATCCTTGTGGAGTTACAGTAAAACATGCAGCTTTCATAACAAAACAAAGCTGCTAATCCTAGCTACAACTTGCAAAGGTAATCCTGTAAATGTACATGTTGGCTGTAACTTGGAGAGACAGCTCTGAGAAGAGTGAATTGAGCTAGTGGTCTTGGTTAGCCTCTCTGGTCTCCAGGATTCTCAGGCTGTGGAATCTGATTAAAAAATCAAGATGCCAGAGAGTGGTTCTTGCTGATAACAGCTCAACATTTTGGTCTTGCTGTCTCACTGCCCAGCTCAGGACCTGTCAGTGGTGGCCTTTCTTTGCAGCTTTCCCACAAGACAATCTTACAAGATTGCAGCCCCAACTTAATCAGATGCTTCTTGCAGATAGGCAGCGTAAGCTGAGGCAGCTGGAGGAGCCCTGATTGCAAGTGGGGAAGCAGTGAAGGCAGGAGGCAGAGGTTGGCATGGCTGAGCTGGGCTGCCTGGCATCTGCTGGGGGAAAGGATGTGCCAGTCTGCCAGTTTCCCTTGGATGAGGTACATCCCAGCAAATCATTTCCAGAGCAAATGCTGGGGCAGCAGATGTACACCTCACAAGACGGCATCAACAGAAAAAAAAATGTTCCTCAAAATAATCACTGTTAAAAATACCCATTGACAACATTTATTATCACACGTATTGATCTTTGTTGCATATTTGGGCAGAGATGAATTGGGCAGGATTAAAAGCATAATTATTTAGTGAGCCCAGTACTTGATTTTATGTTTTGCTGCCATGTGTTCTAGCACATGTGTTCTAGTGGCTGAGGAGTCAAGAGTAGCTGCAGTGCTGCTTTTCTTTTGCTGATGGCAAAGCCAGGCCAAGTGTCTGGCACTGGCATGGATCAGCAGCGACCCAGCTGGTAAAGGAACACCACTGAGGGCCCAGCTATCCTCCCGAAGCCATTGGCAGAGCCTGTCAGATGGTGGTGTCATGCTTCAGAGAGTGGAGACAGGAGAGGTAGGTGTCAGTTGCCATTTGAGCATCCTCTTCCCATGTTGCCAGACAACAGCTAATTCTCTGAAAGGAGGGATAAGTGTGGAGACATGCATTGCTGTCCTGACAGCAGCCTAACAGGGAAATTGCCACAAAGGAGGAACAGGCAGGACTGACTCTCTAGAAAGCTTTCCCCTATACTCAAGCTTCCCCTCAAAGGAGCTCTTGGGTGATAAATCCCTCCTGTTAAGCTGAAAAGCAGGTTGAAAGAATTTCCTTAGGGAGCTGTCCCGTGTAGATACCCTCTAGGTGCATCTAGAGGAGCATTTCCTTTTTTTACCAAATTTTGTCACTTTTTCCTCAGGGTAGGTCTGGTCTAGTATTCTTAGCACACACTGAAGAAAAAAAAAAATCCCATTTTCAGCACTGATTCCTACTGCTTCTCTGGGCTCTGCGGTGGCACAAGGGAAGAAAGAATTTGACTGATTGGACAAGATGGCACAGACTGCTTTGCTGCCAAGGATAAGCATCCTGGTGAACTGATCCTCAGCCAGGGATGCTTCTCCCACAGTGCCAGCTTCTCTTACCAGGGATGAAACCTTATCCAAAACAGTCCTGCAGAGCAGCATGACATGAATGGCTGAAGTTGTTAAACAAATTTGTCTTACACTTCTTGGCAGTGAATATACTTGAGAAACACTGAAACTGGTAATAGCCCCATGATAATTGTGTTCTTATGTAGGGATCTCATGTTTTTTTTTTTTTTTTAAATTAGAAGTAATCATGTTTGTCTTAGCTATATTAGTAGCAAATTGGCCACTGAATGGCATACTTGTCTTTTTTTTTTTTTTTAAAGCATTGAAACCAGACTCATCCTAAACTATATTTATTTGTGATAAAAAAAAACCCCTATTTTGAATAGTACCATAGTATTTAATTTGAGAAATTATAAAATTCTACTGGGAAAATATTCAAGTGGGTTTTTTTTCTGAAATAGTAATCCTAGACTGAGGGAATGCACAAGTTCAGGGATTCCCTATAATGACAATAAATGTTGAGGTATAATTAGTAATATTTTTGAAAGCCAACAATTGTTTTTTGAAAGAAAGGTACATTTTAGTTTCAAACTGGAACACAAATTACTGTATTTTTCTTACAATAGTGCTGAACTTTTATTTGAGGTTCTCTGTTTCTGAAAGCAGACATGATGGATTGAAATAAAAGATAATTTATTGCAATGCTTACTTTCAAGTGCAGAGAGAAGCAGTGTAATTGTAATTTACAGTAGCTGTCAAGGAAAATCTATCACAGATGACATTAAAATGACTTATTTTGCCTGAGCCACTTATTGTTTAAATGTGCATAATCTGAGAGAAACAGATTTTTTTAAAAATCTGCTTTATATTGTTCTAAATTAATATCAAAACATATACTTACTAGTTAAACATTTTAAACCATTTATTAATACTTTCATCACTACTATTTTTTGTTGGAGTTGAAATTTGATTTATTTAACAACATCACTTTTAAGTTCTTTAGCTCTCTACACTCCTAACACTTTCATGCACTTAGACTCACTGTCTAAAAAGCAGATTTCAAACTAGATATATTTTTGTCTGAAAATGTCAGAAATGGTAGAAGAAAATGGACCATAGGGACCAATTCCTTTTACACAGGAACTGACCAATAGTTTTGATATGAGGTAAACAAAGATCCAAATTTTTCTAAACAAAGTAACTCACAAATCCATGCAGTATTTTATTTGCAACTTGTAGCTGATGGAAGAATGAACTGCTATCAGTGAAATAACTCAGTGTCAGCTATTGAGCTTCCATGACAAAGACTGTGTTAGAATATTGACTGCAAACTTACTCCGAGATATAATTATTCTGAAACCTACTGTAGAAAGGAAATATTCTCATTATTTGTGCATAAGATGCATTCTGGATATGACTGGAGCACCTTTACAGAAAAACTGATGAAAGAAACTTAGACACATATCCATTCTGATGGACCTAAATGTTTTCAGCTCGTAGGTGCTTGTTCTCAGGCATTTATAATATCTAACTATTGTGAAACTTGAGATTTTTATATATATATATATATATATATATATATATATATATATATATATGTCTGTCTGTAAGCAAATGTCAAATGACAAATAACTTGAAACACACAGCTTCACCAAGCCAAGGTGAGCTTTCAGCAGAGGGAGTGTTAAAGTAATTCTAAACAAATCAGCACATTTAAATTGTCAACACGATAAAATCTTGAGAAATAAAGTTAATGACCTGCTATTTCATATGCAGTTTTGAATAGCTACTAGCTTCAATTAATCTGCTTTGCAAAGGGGACACTGACTATATATTTACATTTTGCAGGGAAACTGACCTCTGCAACAACACAGCAAAAATCCAATGTCACATTCAACTCTGTTCTTTTTCTTCTTCTTCCTTTTTTTTTTTTTTTTTTTTTTTTTTTTTTTTTTTAAAAAAAAAAAACAGCTAGAATTAATGTAGTGAATCTGTAATGAAATGCATTATCCTGCATGGAGATTTATCAGATTTTCCAACTGAATGCCATGCTTTGCTAGCACTAGCTGGAGTTCACCTGCATGTTGGTGTGGCGTGTGGCTCTTTTTTGTAAAGAGTTAAGTTGAACACAAAAAAAGGGAACAAAGGTCAGCACCCAGCCGCCACTTGAATGTGAGATTTTTCTTTTTATTCCCCTTGATGTATACTAGGCTCTGTGTTATTAGTCTTAATGATGGAAAATTGTAGTGTTGATACAAATCTTTTTTTCAAAGTAGTAGGCGGGAGCTCCATTTGTTAGTAAGTTTTTTTGTGACTAAAAGCCATGGACAGTACATTTATGTAGCAGTAAAAGGCCTAGATGCTCTTTCCATAGCAGAGCTAATTATTCCTACTGTGACCTTACTGATCTACCCTGTTCCTAGTACATCTCATCTGCACGCCTGTTCCTCTGTGTAGATGGTGTCAGAGAATATGAAAAACCCTATAATGAAACCATTTTCATGATGGAGAAAGGCTACTGGAGTTGCACTTGCTACAAAGAGGCTCAATTATATGAGTAATTGTGATAATTTTCTACATTCATAGCCTTCAATGGGGAAAAAAGAATGAGAGCCACAAAAGAAAATTACTTTAACAAGAAAGTACAGAGAGTAAAAATGGAAGAAGAGACAAAAAGGGGGAAAAAATAACCAGAAAAAAAAAGTTTAAAAAATAGATCTGGAGGGAGGAATAGCAAGACAGGGAGAACAACAGAAATGCTCAAAAAGCCTATGTGCAGCTGTGTTGCACAATTAAATTGAATTTTTTTTCTGCAGTTGATGAATGTGACTACTGCAAATGTGCCTCTGTAGTTAGCTATCATTTGTTGTTCCGTGACAGGAAAAGGATAATTACCTCTCAGAGAGAATCAAAGGCTGACATGCCCTTTAGACACAGCCATGAATGCAGAGCTCGATAGAATGCTTGAATAAGAATCCAGTGTTCTGTGCCCCCTTCTACTCAAGAATAAATTTTGTTAAAATGCAAGAGCACCACCAGTAAATTTGTTGAACCCTAGGTGTTCAAAAATATGAGGTGCATCTATCGACTCATCCCATTTGCAAAAATAAAACTACATTTTGAATTCACTTCTATTATATTCATGGACAGTAAGATAGTGAGATATGCATTAAATTTCTTTTCCCAGTAGGGGTCTGATTCAACATTTCCTATGAAAGAACAGAAAGACACTATCCTTTTTCTCCAGGCTAGTTAGCCTATAATTTAAAACTGTCAAAAACACAATTTTATACAAAGTCTTCAATAAAAGCTTCTCAGATATAACCCAAAGAGGTTTTACTAAAGTTTGATTCAGACTCTGTTACAATATTTTTAAAGCTATAAATACATCTAACTGATATTTTGCCGTTCTCTTTTTTTCTTAAAGTATTTCAAGATTTACAATGAAAAAAAAAAAGGCAGCATCCTTTCAAGGTGACTAAGCCTTGCAGCTTTTAAGTAATCAGAATGAATTCAATAGCTTGTTGGGACCATTAGCAGTCCGAAGAAGTATTGCTTAATGAAATGTATATGATGTATGTCTATTTCTTTCTTTTGGCAAACATTTTAAAATAATCCATAGGTACCTTCAAAAAACTAAGACATTTTTATTTAAAGCCATCAGCAGAAGAATCATGACTGCATTTACGCGAAGGCTAGAAGAGATGCAAAACAGGGAAAAATCTCTGGATGTCAGCTCTTTTTTCCCTATGATGTTAGCAGCCACTGCTCTTTGTAAGATCAGAAGCTCTCGAGTTAAATATTTTTGTAGTTTTTAAACAAAGAGCTTATTTATGTTGACTAATTCCTTTGTAACAGTCAATGAAAACAATGGTTTCTAACTGTCTTACACCATTAGATGGATGTGGTGTAGTATCACATACAAATAAAAAATAAACAAAAGCCCACTGCAAATTACATATGTTAATTTAAATCTACTTTATGAATATATTTGTCTTTTTCTACAGTTATCTTTGCTGACCCTAGTGTAATTCACTTAAAAAAAAATACCTCTTATCCGAGGAACAACATTATAGCTTGGCAGTTCACATACTGATATCAGACTGAAATGATGGTTTTGAATCATAAAACATGTCATCAGCTTTATACCAAACCACCAATAACCTTTGTCCCATTTGCCAGCCCTCCTTTTACTTGTCAATATAAGGCTTACCTGATTGTGTTTCCAATTACAGAGAAGGGAGCCCCTGGTCTGCAAGCTGCAATTGCTTCATCTCTACATTTCCTGGCAACCTCCACTAACTTTTCACCAGATTTATCCACATTGCCCACCAAAAAGGTTTCAGAAGTGTCACCATGGTAGCCATTGTAATACACCTAAACATATACAGAAATGCAAAGACATTTTCTCATTTTGCATCCAGAAACAAATCATTGTCTTAATTAAATCCATTTTTTCTAGGAACAAGCTATATTTTGCAACAGATAGACAGGTAAGTCATATTTGCAAGACTGGAAAAGCAAAACATTGCAGAGGAAAAAAAAAAAAAGCTTGAAAGGATGCAAGGTGCCTAAGGGTTGCCAACGTTGCCAATTAAAAATTCAAGCAAAGCAGAAGCTGTGCATCAGTGCCCAGCCACGCACCAGGCTCAGCCACAGGACATGAGGATAACTGGGCTGCTTGGGAGAAGATGGGTGGGGGATGTGGATGGGCTGAGGTGGGCCCTGGGGGCTGTTGGGTGCCCACCCATCCTGGCACCCGCTGCAGCCAGGGACCTGCTTGCACCCCAGAGGGGCAGGGACTGAGCCCCAGCGCTGGCCGTGGCCACGGGGATCCTGTTGGTGGCTGGCAGGGAGGTGAGGGTCCGCAGGCAGCAGCCCCCACTGGAACTCTGAGCTGAGAGCCATACCCTGCTACCAACGGCCAGAGGAAACCCCACGGACCAAACCCACTGTCAGCTGTTGCAGGTTTTCTTTAAACTCATTTTTAAGCTACAATATGGCATTAACATTGGATTTTACTTCTGATTTCCAGAGATGAATTTTGAGACAATAAATGTACTGCTGTGGCACTGAAAAATTTGATGTTCTGAAAATGGAACATGCTGTTGAATTAATTACATATTGTTTTTTTTCTTTTCTTTTTGAAATTTCATAGGTTTTAAATGTTAGCCCTCCTGAAACCCTCTGTTGGGCACATGAAATCCTGGCTATGCACTACAGAGATCTGCAACATACCATTAAAATGCACATGGCAGGCAGGCCCATAATTGTAAGACCAAGCAATATTTCCCTACAAAAAGACAAATTATAATGGTGCACAGTTTTGATCTTCTAAAACATTTTTTCTCCCCCAAACAGTGGGCAACTATCCTTCTACAACTAATTACTCACCGAGCTTGAACCACTGAACTTTTGCCACTGGCAAGTTATTTGTGAAAGACAGACTCACATTCTTTTTGGTTGATTCCAAACTAAAAAAAAACCCATAACCCCAAAAACCCCACACTACAGACAGTTTATCTCAAGGCCAGGTTTGTCTTCAAGTTGAGATATAAAGAAAATGCAGGCCATTAGGAGCAAGGAGTATTTAAAGGAAAGGTGAGTGCCAGCAAGGGCACAACTTGTTGCCACTGCTCTGGCAAAAAACAGCTGCAATCCTCTGCTCTACACCTTCCTCTGCCAGTTCAGACTACCACAAAATAATTTTTTATTTTTTATTTAATGCCCATTCGGCAGGTTTTAAAGCAGATAGTTCACATTTAAATTAAACTAATTTGTTTTTAGCTCTAGCAAGGAAAACACATAAACTCCCAACATTAAGCATCATCATCCTGGAAAAGCAAACACAGATTTAAAACACAGGAGAGTAAAAAAAAAAAACAAACCCACAAACAACAACAAAAACACTCAGCAACAAACCAAATAATAATATTTACTGCAGCCCATCAGCCGCAATTACATATTTCTGATCTTAATAAACTACAACCACAGCAACTCTAACATACTATTTCCTTAAAATTCAGTGAAAGAACCAAGTTGTAGAAAACATTAACCTGGTAACAATAGGCTGAAAATTGCACTATGCTGAGGATCCAGTAATGGATAACACTATTGTCTCTATACTAAAACACATTTTCAAGTCCACATGATTCAAGCCTATAAAATTTGTATTTCATCTATGAAATGCTACCATCTTAACTGTGCTAAAATAGATTTTTTTGTTCAGATAATCTGCACACAGTGCTAGGTATTTACACTTAACAACTTGAGTATTATTTAATTACTTTATAGAACCTGTACACAATTATAAACAATTTGTTGTGCAATATTTACTTTGATTTTTATTCTGTCCAGCTGTGAAATGTCCCAGTTTTGCTCATTAAAAATAAGCTAAAAGATCAGTTAATAATGCTGAAAAGTAGTATTTTTTCCTCAGCTGTTTTAGACTAAGCAATTATCACACACAGCACAGTTCAGTTTTAAATGATGAAAAAAAATCTTACAAAGATAGTCAGCAATTCCCATCCTTGCAGGAATCTTTATATTCACAGAAATGTCAAAATTTATTTTCTTTTATGAGACTAGATTAAAAGGAAATAAATATATGTCTGCAAAAAGGCCAGTAACATTTAGTCAGACATTTATGAAGCAGAGTGGACAAGATATGCACACTATTTTAATATAAAATATTTAATTTAGTTTATCATGGAAAGTATCTGTGGTATGAGTCTATACTTTTTTTAAATCTAAGGTATCATTATCATCCTGACAGACTGAACAAAAAGTAAAATGAACCTTAAGGCGGTACAAAGAAATATGATTTAAATCCTTAGTTGTTGCAAACTGATTTAGATTAATAAACTGAGCAAAGTGAGACCAGTTCACCAAAGTTAACATGAAGGCCAAAAATAAAGTTTAAAAATGCTAGATTGCACTGTGTAAACCTGATAGTCAGAATTCTACGATTAGAAAGTATGGAGATGGGAAAGAATATAAAAAGATCAAAACCCCAAGCCAAACCAAATCCAGTTCTGGATCACATGTGAGTATGTAATGGGAAAAAGGTCATTGACCCTAATTTTAATAGAAAAAATATTTTAGAAAGCTTGAATCTCATGCTCAGAGGTAGGTCTGCTGAAGATTTCTTCACTCTGCCAGTATGAACACAGTATCAGGTTACCAATAGGTTCTTTAATGATTTAAAACCCTTGTTTTTACAAGATTCTACTCTCTTGTATGTGACATATTATTGCAAAATAATGGAGGGACTAAAAACATCTGTGTTCACACTAGAAATAAACAGCACTTCAGAAAAATAAAAACATGCACAGCAAAAAGAAAAAAACTTTAGTAAGACACAAATATTTTTTATTTCATAAATGAAATGAGAATTAGGTTTCCAGTTCCTGTGCTTTCTTGCTCCTAGGAAAACCCAGCTTGTGTTTATTTAAATAGCTATAATTGATGATTCCCTGAAAATATTAAGTCACAGTTATATCACACTATTTCTGTTTCTGCTCAAAAGGTTCAGAGCTTCTATACCAGAAATGGAACACAACACTACCTTCGGGGATTTTAATAAATGTAGGGAACACTGCTAGCAAAAGAGTTGCTGTCCAAATAGACTGACATACCCAGGCCAATGCAGCCTCTAATGACAGAGTAAGATAATGTCAGGCCCCACTCAAAATCAGCAGGAAGAGGAAGATCAATCTTGGCAGAGTGAAGGAAAAATGCTGGCTTTCTTCATGTTAGCTCATCTCATACATATCTATCTTCAGCTGCTGCCCAGTACTGTGGTGCTCTGCATTAACTACACAGTGGATCAATAACAATTACACCTTCTCAAAAACATGACACATAGCAGGATTGGGTTGACATTTCACTTAGGCCAACATTGATCTCAGTGCATCTGATTCCAGTCCTAAATTCAAGTCAGGCCTGAGTCTAGCTGGAATAAACACACAGTTAAAAACAAAAAAGGAAACCAGCTGCTTGTGCCTTGGCTCAGAAGTAAACAGCACATCCATCTGTGCATCTCCCACCTCCAATCCACTATTCTTCCTGTTGCTACTAGTGATTCTAAAGTTGATCAAAGACTATTTTTTTATATGAATTACTCACCGTGACATCAATGTTGATAATATCTCCATCCTGAAGAGGTCGACTGAAACATAAACAGAAAAAAAAAATAATGGTGACAGACAGTCCTCAACAAAGGGAATATAAGAATAAACACCTAATGACACATACATAAAAAATCATCATATTTTGTGATGGAGGAAGGCAGAAGCAAACAGAATAACCATTTTTAATGTTCAGCTCTGACTATTTAGAGAACAAGTGTAGCTGAATATAAAATAATGAGAAACAACTACCAGAAAAACATATCAACACCTGAAAAATCTACCATTATATTTATTCTTTTTCTCTCACTAGGGTTCATATTTTACTTTGTGAGTAGTGAATGTATTGAGAATATAAAAAAAAATCCCACATGAATTCAAATATATTTATTCCTTAGCCTATACTTATTTTTCTGGATGAACAAAAAATCAGACCATACTGGGTTTTTTTTCCCTAACACATACTAAATTCAAAATGCAATATGCTATTTTTCTTTAAGTGACTGGAAAAACAGGATAATATATTTTTTTTCATATTTCACATATATTTCTGTAACAGCTATCAGCATCACAGGGTAACATGTTCTGCATCTACAACACATTTAAGTATGACATTTAGTTAAGCTGAAGTACATTCAATATTAAATACAATTTATTAATTCCAGTTTAACATTTTAATTTCCAGTTGTAAAATGTACATTATTGAGGAAATACCTGTCAGGAATACCATGACATACCACGTTGTTTACAGAAGTACAAACAGATTTTGGAAAACCTCCATAGCCCAGAGGTGATGGATAGGCATTCTGTCTGATTATTTCCTGATGAACAATGGAATCTATTTCTTCAGTTGTCATGCCAACCTAAAATATCAAACATAACATCCTGTTAAAAAAGCAAAGAGAGTTTCTCATATTTACTGAATGTGATTGCAGCCAAGCTTCAATGAAATATTGGATGTTTCAAATATGCTGCTTTGATGCAAAACACGATACTGTCTGATATACTTTATTGATCTATGGAGGCTTTTTTTTTCTGAAAAACCCTCCAAAATACAGATTTTAAATAAAGCATGCAGTAGAAATAAGCACTCAAAGGTTCCCAGAAAACCTAAAATCCTGTCTACTTCCTTTCTGTTCCCTTTTCCTTATCTACTTTCTCAAAGACACCAATTTCCCATGTCATCATTTCAGTAGCTACTATAGAAATGTCTTGATTCAATGCTTTCAGTCGCTTAAAACACAACATTACTTTCCTCTTTTATTTGTAAAAGAAAGGATATTAAGCCTTGTAATTGCCCAGTACATTCATAATGTATTTAAGCATTTTAAGAAATTGTTTTCCAGGTATTCCTAAATGTTATAAAACATTGAAATACTGAGATGCAAATTTTAAGGATATTTTACGTAAAGTTGCCATAGCCTGGATGATCATAATGAATCTACAAGTCCTGACCCATCATTTTTAGAAATCTTCATTTTTATGCTTGATGTCTTCTAGATTCATCTTTTCCACAAGATTTTTACATATTAAAAAATCCCTCTCATAAATCAGTCAACCATTTTCTGGGTACCCATGGAGTGCAAAGTGCACATGCTTAAAATAATATTATTCTTGCTTTTCTTTTGGATCAACTCTGGAATGGTTAGAGCTGAAATTTGGTAGGGAAACCTCTCTAATTGAGAAGTACTTTTGAGGGTTCCGCTGTAAATTGATTTTGCTTTGAATGAGTTCTGAGCCTTTGAAAATCATACTTTGTAAAGATACAAGTATCATTCTTGGCACACTGAAGGAAATGTCACAGTGGCTGTGATTTTGAAGTAACATGTGGAATACAGGTAGGCTGTGGTGCAGGAGACAGTAACATAGTGAAATACTGCGTGGCCATGCCCAGCCAATACAGGAGAGTGCACTTGTGTACTGTGCTGAGGATAAAACCAGGTCTGTTTACTCAGCTGAATTTTGCTCAGCACAGAAACATAGTTGGGCAGGTGAGGAGCAATGAACGAGGGTTCAAGACCAGGATTTGGGATTACTGCACATGCCCCTGTGTTGCAGCCGCAGCCTTGGCAGGCTCTCTGGATTGGATATGGCAGCCGTTGGCTCTGGATAAATACAGGTTTGTGGCTCCTGCATCTGCTCAAATATCTTCATCTTTAGCCCACAGACAAACCGAACTGCCGAGTACCTGACTGGCTGCTGTCTGCTGCTTCTCTGCTCAAGCAATTTGATGTGGTTTGTGGATACTCAGCAGACAGATCTCTGGTCTCTGCATGGATTACACTCTGTGCAAAGTTCTGCTTTTAACAGTATGTGCTTTACTTTTAAAGATACTTTTGCTAGCTGGGCAAGTCACTGGTGGCACCTGCTGTGGCCCTAATCCTTTACTCAGAACAGGGCAATTCAACAGTATAGAATAAAGTATTTTCATGTCATAGAATCTGTGTTTTTATTCCCAAATCTATAACTCAAACTCAGGAAAGCTATCATATATAACACTGTATCATAATTTGAAATCCCACAGGTGGTAATGGCAACATCAAAACCAGGTTCAAACTCTATCTCTCTGTATCCATGGATTATAATGCACCTTTGTTATATTGGGGGATCTTGACTGCCACTAGCTAAAGCACAGGCAAGAGCCAGGTTGGAGGACTGCGTGCAAGGTGGGTTCAGCAAGATAACAGGAACACGTGGAGGGATGGGATTCTTCAGGTTAAATAGGAGTGTAGTGTTTAGCATATGAGATGAGGCTAAAAGAGCTTGGTTTGTTCAGTCTGGTGCACAGCTCTATTCCTGCATGAAGGGGAAGACTCACAGAAAGGCAGGAAACTATTTAAATTAAAGAGCAGTGTTGGCACAAGAACAGATAGGCATAAACTGACCACATGCAGCAATAGACTGGAAAGCAGAAGATGCTCACTGTCAATAAGGGAGGGTTTTGGAGCATCCTCCCAGTGAGTGGAGTCTTGAACAAATACTTAATTGTGTAAAACAGAGCTCACCACCAGTCTGTGACTGACCTGGACCATGGTTTTAGCATTGCAACTCCAAATACCAGCTTTCTTCCAGTACACAGGTCCTGGTTATGTAATTATTACCTTATACACCTTTTTGCTCCAAAACATTCATTATACATGTGTAGTATTTTGCTTTATGTATGATTTGGCACATATTATGAACTGCATCATAAAGTACACCATACTGCATACATGTGTATTTACACATGATAACAACCAAAGAGTATTTGTGAAAAATTGCTCTCATTCAAAACCCACATTGCACCCTGATCCTTTGGAAACATGTATATGCCTTCAACTTTAAATGAGTAAGTTTTATTGTGCTGAAAAACAATTGCACATTAAAATGTTAAACATGCACAAAACTATGTAAGATGAAAGCTTCACGCAATTTTGTTATTTGCTGTTCCAGCTCTGGAACTATACCTTTGTGAAAGAGTGATGATAGCTGAAAGAAAAATCTCCTTTTAAGTCAATGGCATTGACCTACAGTCCCCATCTATCTCTGCATCTCATAGCTACTCAACCCATTTCACCTTATCCAATATGCTATTACATGAAATACCAAGGCAAGGCTAAAAAAGCATTTCTTCATCTACAAAACCTGGTAGTAGGCTCCACCCTCTACATTTTTTCTTGGGAGGTATCCTAAAAAGCATACTCTAGGAACATTTCTGGAAATCATGAAGCTGTACTATCAATGCACTCTGGAAAATTGTGTAGAATTTGGCAGCTGTTTATTCCAGCGCAGCTCTACGAGCTGCATTGGACCCCACAGGACAGTGAGGGCTGAAGGATGGGCAGGAATGGAGAAGGCACACCAATTGTGGGCTTGTACACATGCAGAGCTGGAAAGCATGACATATGATGTAGATGGGCCATGAAATGAAAGGAAAAAATGTAGCATGTGCCTTAGGAGAAGCTCACACAATTTGACACAATCTGAAGAGAGGGAGATGACAAACACAGAGATATTACACCTGAGCCAGTAACTATGCACTACATAGGTCCAAAGTACAGAAATAATTAAACAGGCATATCATGAACTGAATAAAAAGTTAATAAATCCTTATTTTTTCAGGATCAACCTTAAAGTTGGACGCACACAATAGGAAAGTTAAAAGAACAAAAAAGTAGGAAGAAAACCCAAATAAGTGAAAACATAAAAAACACCCAAGCAGTTTTGGGACTTCTGTAATTGTTACCTTTAAGCCCTTTCCAGCCAGAAGCAGGACATGACGGGCCAACTGACAAGCCTGACGAAGCCCTTGAATCTGATCTTCATTCTTAATTTCTATGTCGTCTCCCCAGTCTGGTACAATGCCTGTCGTCACATAGTCTGGCTTCTTTATGTGCTTGGAGAAAAAGGATTGAAAATGAAGATCAGAAAACTGAGCATGACAATGGGATCATTTTCTCAGATATTGCCTCCTGCTTCATGGCAGCTTGCCCTTTCTGTCGTGGTATCGACCTTCCTAAGCCATCAGGGCAAACCCTCAAGGCTGCCTCAGTATTTCTTCCACTGCCCTTTTGAACTTAACATTGCCTGTTACTACTGACTTACACAGTCTGTTAGCCTTCCAGTGCTGAAACGCAGATACTGCAGCTGACTTCCAGCACAGACAGTCTCAAGTTAAGAAACTGGGAGAAAGACTTTAAAACTCTTCATTTTCTTTTGCAAAGAGGGGCGTTTTCTACAAAAGGCATCTAACACTGGAAGTGACGGGACAAACATACAAAATTAGTCTCAAAATTAAACCTGATCAAATCCTGTGTTTCTCATTCAAACAAAACTCCTATTGAAAAATCCATGAGATTGTTTTTTGACTAAGAATCTTAGGATTGAACTGATTTTAATTTAGAGGCTTTTACACATTAATCTAGTTCATATGCTGTGCCTAAATTTGTCCATCTACAACATTACACAAAGGTATCCCAATTTACTATGTCAAGGGAAGAGTAATAAGCCTCATTTTTTCCACACAATAACTTCTCAGCCCTTGTAAGAGGTGAAATTTAACATCAGATTTTTTAAAATCCACAACAATTTAACAACTTTTATAAACACGAAAGCTAATAAGAACAGTAATGTCTTGCATAGAGTTGGAAATTAACTTTCTCTCAGAGGGTCTTGAGTTGTTTCACTGGCTGTGGAAGAATCCCTTTGCCCATGACAGCCAGGCTGATTTTCTGCCATGCTGGCCACAGGGTGAGTTTTGCACTGACTTTACAGTGTCAAGCCAGCAGGCAGAAAACAAAGTAGGCATTTTGGCTGTACACAAACCAACCATACAGCAATAGGGTGTAGGAGTAAAAAAGAGTGAGGCAACTGACAAACTCTATTGGGACTTTAAACAGGAAGACTACTGTTACTGTTACAGGTATTTTATGACTAATCTGATAAAAACTATGAAATTATCTTTAGCAAACTTATGTCAACAGAATTTCCCATTTTTTTAACAACCATAACAACGTCCTATTGCAGTAGTTTGGGCCTTAGTGAAAAAAAACCAAACCAAACTACCAAAACAATGCCATTTGTTAGATTAGCAACTCCATACACAGCATCACCCTCACTTTCCCCTTGGAGGGCACTCACCTAATAACTGAGACATGATCCTACTGACCTCTAAGAACTGTGAAGGGAGAAGCCCAAAGCAGAGTAAATATAAATGTCCATGTGGACAGTTTCACACCAACATCTTAAAAAACACTGTTATTTCAATGTGATTTCTGCCATACTCTGAATAAAAGTAAAAACTTTGCCCTCAACCTTTCAAATTTCATAGATGTGGACTGATTTTTACATGTCTGAGAACTCTGATCTGGGAAGAAACCTTTTCATTATGACAATATATTTCTTCCTCTTTATCCTAAAAAGAAGTATCTAAATACAGAAAATAAAGTTTTTTAATTCTGTGATTTTAAGCTTTTGAAAATATATAGAGCATGTAACCCTATGTTCTCCCTGCACACAACTTCTTAGGGCTAAGAGCCCTACTTCCATCATTCTTCTCTGTTTTCCTATCTAATAACTTTTTAGTATATCTGGCCCATGGAAATGCCCTACATTTGTCATAAGAAATCTATATTAAAATGAGAAACAACACTGTAAAAAGTACTAATTCACATCCTGTGAAGCACTGTTTAGAAGGGTACTTTGGTTTCTTTTGGCCAAAGGAAAGATACTAAACAGTTAATCTGTATGCTGTAATTAAACAGGGGAAAAAAAGAAACGGAAAAAAAGGAAACAAGAAGTGGAGCACATGTTAAATTTGCATTTGCATCAAAAAGTCCCTTTTGGCTTTAAAGTAAATAAAACCAAAAATATATGTTGCAAGGAATAAGAGCAGTCAGGCACAAAAAAGACAAGTTTAAAATGTGCAGCAGGGTTGTGGGACAGCTACCAGCAGGTATTGTATGTTCTCTTTCTGACATAACCAATGTATAAAATCATCAGCAAAATACAAGCATTTTTATAATTTGCTTGCTAGAGATTTATATAGAAGGGGACTCAGATGATCATGAACGATTCCTACTGACTTCTGGTAAGACAGTCTACAATTGCTCCAAACAAGAATCTGGACCCAGAATTGTTGACAGATGATTATAATACTCACATTTATTCTACTATAACTAAACAAGCCCCAGGTTTGAACTCCCTCATAGCTAAATACATCATTGTGTTTAACATGGAAGACAGCTGGACATCAGTTCTCCTATTTCAAATACCAGAACAAGCAACAGGACAGTGATCCAACCCCCAGCTGTTGGACAACAAATACACTTGATCATGACTGCAATCAAACTCTAGACTGGCTGAAGAACAGATTAGGTAACAGAAATTGCTGTACCTTAGGAACTTGGTGAGCTGGAGAAACCACGGCTGGCCAAACTACACTATAAGCAGCATTTCTTTGTCCCTGAAAGAAGAAGCATCTTTGCTGATGATTGCTTGAGTGTCTGTGCAGGTAGTTATGATTGCACAAAGAAAAGATTATATGGCAGCCAGTCACAGAACCTGTTAACAGATAAATTAAAAAATATTAACTTTTTTTTTTTCTACCTGCACACTACAAAATGGAAAATATGCAAAAAGAAGGGCATAATGTAAAATAAAGCACAGAACTCATGTAGTTGCTGAGGGTAATTAAAATCTTGTACTGTTTAAGAGAGAGCAGAAAGAACAAAAAGATATGAGAACAAGAAACTTCCCAAACAATACTTTGAAGCTTTATAAAATATCAAATCTGTTTTGGTTTGATGCACTAAAAAGCAGTGTGGGTAAATTCCCCACAGTTTACAGACAGGAGTGATGCTCTAACAGGCCTCTGCTTGGAGCAATTTGCACTGTTCAAGGCTTGGCAAAGCAGTTAATAAGACACAATAGCAAGAAAAGAGAAGACAAAAAAAAGAAGACAATGTTATTTCATACAATATTTTCAGCTGTATTTTTATAGAATTAGTCACAGATTTCAGCATAACAAAGGTAATGTTGCTCTTTGTCTTGTTGCTCAAGACACAAAGAATAGTTCATTTTGTTCAGGGGGTAACAGAAGAAACTTCAGGAGGTATTTTTAATCTTGGCCATAAGTAATTGAAGGGATTAAAAGTGCAATTTATTTGGAGTATTTCAATCAGATGTCCATTTAATTCACATGGGAATTTGGGACGAAAGTTTCATAGCTCAAACTTAGTTGTTGGGCAATGACACATTTTGCCTCTGCAAAACAAGGAAAAAAGGAAAAAAGGAAAAAAAATAAAAAAAAGTTAAAAAGGAAAAAGAAAGGGCGATTGAGGCCCAAAGGCTCTCAGAGACATCAAAACCAAAATAATGCACCACAAAAGACAATGCTAGCATCAAAACCAGGAAATTCAAAAGGATTATTGACACTGCCCAATAACATTACAATTACACACAGTGTGTATTTCCACTACTCAAATGTTCTACAATATAAACAGGGCTCTTTTCTGAAACAAGTTTAACATAACAGTTGATCTGCTTCTGAAAAATGTCATTATGTATACAAACACAAGAGCAATCTTGTGGCAAGTAATCCAGATGAATAATTATTCTTCAGTAAAAAGTTTTTGTTTAAACAGAAGTAACTAAACATTTTTATACCACAGAAATTAAGAAATTAATCCTCTGCATATTTTGTAACTATGTAAAAGTTTATTTCCAGAAGAGTTTCTTTTACATCTTTCATGTTTTTTATTCTACTGTACCTTCCTTCCTTTCTTTTGGATGCATTTATCATGTTCAGATGCAGAAATTATCCTTCCACATGTGCAATCTTTCAAAGACAGCTCTTTTACAGTACTCTATGACATACAGAAGATTCGAGTTATGCACTGTTTTGGAGCCCCAAACCCAGACTGAAATAGTTTCATCGGGTTTGCATCAGATGTTTCTGACTGTCTCTTTGCACTGGTCAGGGTTACATATAAGTACCAATACCTGAAAAGTTAAAACCTAGGTGTAGAAACTTTCACTCAAGCCAATTCTACTGGATTTTTTTTTGTTTGGTTGTTTTTTTATTTTGTTTTGGTTGTTGGAGGGTTTTTTTTTGTGGGGTAGGTTTTTTGTTTGTTTGTTTTGTTTGGGTTTTTAGCTTGGTGTGTTTGTTTGTTTGTTTGACTTGTTGATAAATAACAAAGTGAAGCTGAAGGGTGAGATTCACCTCAAGCTCTCAGTATAACCTAAGTACCCAATGGAAGCTGCCTGCTTCAAAACAGAAGAAAGTGTCTCCAAGGAAGTGGAGCCGCCCAGTTAACAGAGGGCTGGATTGATGTGGCAGTCCATTAACTAGAATTTGAACAGCAGGCTCATAATCTACTTTCCTAGAATCTCCTTCACAAGGAAAAAAAAAAAATCATTGTCCAGTTAACAAAAACCACCTAAATATACCCAGAAATACCCAGAAAGTCACCTAAACTACAACTGTAAGCACATCCGAAGAACCCAAAGCATCCTACAAATTCCCCGTCTGATTTATTCTCATTTCTGGAATTTGGAAGCACAGAATCTGCTGAGGCAGCAACTTTTGGGCCATCAGAAGTAGCAATCAGTCTGACAGTGTAAGCCAAGTTGCCTCTTTTACAAAGTGCAGTTGAAGTACCTTGCTTTTAGCCCAGCTAAAGGTACTGCAAATATATTGAAATCCCACACTCACTGATGTGGTTAGCTAGAGTCCACATGGACATCAATATGTGAACTTGTATTTTAAATGCTCTCCTTGATGCCCAGAATGCTCCCTGGGCACTTGTTGATTGTGTCACAATTTAACTGGGGAAGAATAGGTGCAAGTGTGCTTGTCATTTATTCCCAATGCCTCCCCCAAACCCACACTCTTAAATATATTAAACCATATTCATGGGTGCATGTCTATTGGCTAGCTCACATTCAGAAGGGATACCTTTTTATTCAGAATAAAATTTTTACTTCTATTCTCCCAAAGATACACTGCAAGTGTTGTCACAAAATAACAGGATAATAAGGTACTGTAGCCTGTTGTTATTCTACTAACTACTCATTATAAAACAGATGCATACAAAACTATCTACTATTTGAACAGATGAAATGAGACAAGCAAATAAGTATCACCATTCTAAAATACAATTCCTAAATTATATTACAAGAATTATAAACACAGGACAACTAAACCTTTATTTGAAATATAAAAAATTATAAGAGAAAACATTCTCCTACAATGTAAAAATAAAATTAAATAAAATGGCATTAAAATACAATGAAGTTACTGGTCTATAATGAAAATCAGGACTCCATCCACACACTTCCTTCCTTAAGAAGGCCTTCTAATGCCTCCACAGTGCCTTTTATTTTTCAAGCTCCATATTCCCAGCTAATTTGATATAGCAACATCATCAATCACCTGAGACAGGAACAACTGTCTGTATTCTCCAAGTCTGGCTCAGAGATTCCCTCCTCCTCACCCCTTACACCCATCAAAGCTTTCTCAGTGCCTTTATTTACTTCTACAACAGTGATGCTCAGGCACATCATTGTTAAGCTTTCTGTGTATACTAATTACTGTAAGACAATTCATACACGTGGCATTTATGCATCTTCCAGCAGAAACTGCAGTGTGTGAAGCTGGCTAGGCTGGTAACAGACCAGCACTACCAGGATATAAAGTTGACCCTTAATGTGTTTATTCTGTACCCCAACAGCAAGGCTACGTCACCTGCCACGAGCAGTAGAATATTTACTGTCAGCTGCACTAAGGAGAACGATCAGCAGCGTTACCGAGTCCCAGCTTGGATGCATCGAGCACAGAAAATCCCTGCCAACTGCTCCGGGAGCCACCAGTGAATCCCACTGTGCAATCCGTGTGCCGCTGGATTCCTCAGCACACCTTCCAGACCTTCCTCTGCATTAACACTACCAAAATGCACTGTGAGCTCTTCTGAATTACCAGATGAATTTATCTTGTGTGGAAATTACATTTCTTTTCCTTTTAAACGAGTCAGTCAGAGCGGCTGAATATTGCATTCAAGAATTATGATGGGTGGGAGCATTTTTAAGTGACTGATTTTGCAGCACAGTGTGCCCTATATTTATTAGCCTTTTACTCCAGGGCTATTTTAATTGTTATCTGTTCATGCGTGTTACACTATATAATGAAATGCTCTCATTTCACTCCTAGAGTGGAGAGTTTTTTATGTGTATCTCTATTAATGACCCTTAATTAAGTTGATTTTAGTAATTTAAATGTGATTTTCCTCTGGTCAAGAAGTATTTTTAACAGGAGATATTGAAAATGAACTCTCACATAAGCCCTTTTCTAATGCTTCCTGTTTAACAGTTACAGCAATTTATCAAGCTATGTTTCCAATGAATGAAGTGTGGGGTAGCTGGGTAAAAAACTGCTAATTTGCATGATTCATCAGATGTGATTGTTAGCAACAATTTTTTGGTATTTATTCATTAAAGATTTCAATTTTCCAAGCAATTAATAAAAATATTACCAATGGATAAACTTCATGACAGTTCTGAGTTACAATAAATACAAGGGTGCATCTTAAAAGAGACAAGAAATAAATTAACATAATTTAAAATAATTTAGTCATAGTATCAACAGAAGCAGAGTACCAAATTTAGTTAGGATTACAAGAATTAACATTCAAAACTATTTAGAAAATAAAATCAAATTGCTCTTGATAAAGTTAGCATCAAAAGCACTGTTCTGAGAACTCTTCTCAAATTATGCGATTTAATCTTTGTTTTTAAACTGAAAAAAATAATGACTGTGGGGATTTTCTTAATATGTATTCATTTGGAAGTAAAACACTAGAGATCCTTCATTTGGCTTGTCAGGTAATTTTAATACTCTAGCATAATTTAGGTTCTTGTGCAAATACTCATTTTGCTGAAACTTCTGAGGATTAAAGCTTAAAATGAGGTATTAAAAATCACTAACAGGAACAATATGTGGAATCCAGCCAATGCAACTAGGTAAGAATACATAGCTTCTTACTGCTAATTACCAAATGTTCCCATTTTTCAATCCAAAATAATGGCTGTGGTTTGAAAGACCTTTACTGGTAATTGTAACTCTAACTGTCTAATAAAACACTGACTTTGTAACCCCCCTGTTGCAAAGGTATGTCCAAGCTTCAAAAATAGGATGGGAAAGATTAAAGGTTCTTTCCAGCTCTGTGTAACCTGTGTAGCAGAAGACCAGCTCACATTTCACATGCAATAACCTGCGCATTTGCTAAAAAAAAAGAAAAAGAAAGAAAAAAAGGAAAAAACCTCCAAGAACAACATAGGGAAATGCCTGAGGCAGAAGTTGAAACTGATTGGGCAAAGTAGAAGGACAAGAGCCCTTGAAATTAAACAAAAGCAAATTCATTCTGTTGACAGATGTTGATTACATCAAAGCCATGAAAGAACTTTTTTTTTGTTTCTCTTTTTTTTTCCCTTTTTTGCAACTAATACCTTCACATTTTTGTACATTACGGATATAACGTAACTTAATCAACATAATCCAACACATGATAATTCTCAAATTTGGTAAAATTATATTATAAGAAGGTCTTAATGACAGGCTTCTCCAAACAAGAGTGTATTCACATGGTCATGTCTGCATACCCGTGCTGGTCACGCCATCATCAGCCCCTTACTTCCAGGGGTTAACTGCTCTGGCAGCCAAATAAAATACAGAGAGCGCTGTGTAATTATGGAGACAGTCAAAGGGCAGACTCTATTTTGAAATCTATTTGCACAGACAAGGTCTTCCAATTTCGCTTACAGGAAACAAGCTGGTAAAGGGGGTCTCCTCCTCTCCAGATGCTTTCCACACGTTTTTCCCACATCAGGAAATCGTGGACATGGACACCATGCAGGACTGTTTCCTGGATTGCAGAACTATGTCATTACAAGGAGAAGAGCAAGTCCCTGCTTGTGAGAAATATTTCCTCCTAATTGGATGTATTAGGGGAAAGCAAAACCCATAAGGACTACTGAAAATGTGACTAGCAGCAATTTGTAAACAGGACGCAGCCACAGCTGTCACGATGGTACTGGAAAAGAGAAAGCAGAAATGAAAGGGTAAAAACACTCTGTTTTTAATAGCATGATTGGGGAAATGAAATATTCATCAGGATAGATGTGACTTCAGTTACAACAGCAACACATTGGTGAAAACTTCAACAACAGCACGCTTATGATCCTACCCTGATAAACTGAAACGCAGGCCAGTATCTTGCAAACATTATATTCTAATTGGTATTGTTTTATTTAATTTTTCTGGAAATTAACGACAGAATTTGTTTAGTTAATAGAGGCATTAACAGGACTGTTCTTGTTACTCTCCTAAGAGGCAATGAAGCATAGCAACGGTCGAATGGGGACCGACTCCAAGGGAGAAGAGTCAGCCCCTCTGCCAGCATCACCGTGACTCCCCCATGTCACTGAAAAAAGTCTGTTTTGGTCCTCAGTTACACTCCTTGCTAATTACAATTCTGCCCTTACTTCATGCAGAGTGGAACTGGGCAATTTGTTGGCTGTATGCCAATATAAATGAGTTTGTAAATTTATAAACTATATGGAAACAGATTTTGTTTTTCTTTACTTACTATGATTTAGTCTAGACTAACAGACTAAAATGATGAATCAGTGCCTTCTGGAATAGTGCTGTGCTTCTAATTCATTATTCAGTCAAACTTAGGGCAAACAAAATAGCTGTTCTGCAAGTTGGTAAACTGGGAAACCACAGAGAATCAGAATCCCTTCTATTTACAGGAAGGATGACAGCCTAAGGGTACTTCATCCCAATAATAACAACATTCAAGTACCGGTGCCCAGGTCATGACAAGCCATGACCCTCCCCATAGCTCCTTCAGGAAGCTGGCTTGATGCCACCTTTTATCAGCAGCAACTGACAGTGCAACTTTAACAAACAAGAAGAAAAAATTAGTATTATATTCTTAAAATCTCCTTTGACCAGTTGAGCAAGTTACAGAACTGCTCAACTGTATATACATATACACACACGGACTCACACCAAGGCAGTATAAGAAATAAATTAACTGACTGAGTAAAATTCTGGTACCATTAAACAGTACTTCCCTCTTTTATTATAGGACTTAAAAAATACGGAGTACAATCTAACTACTGCTGAGTGATATTCATGACTATACCAAAGGAAATGAATTGTCATTACAGAACACGGGATCAAACTGGACAGACACTGGGAACAGAGCATCGCAGTCCTCCAGCACAGCCTTCCATCCCACTGTTATTTCTGCTACATTTTCTCTCTCTGACAGAAAAACGCAAGAAGAAAATAAAAAGACAGTGTTGTCTAAAGCAATATCACTCCAAAATGAGATAAGTCCAGTACAAAAGCTGCACAAAGCAATATTAAGGGTTTCAATCACAGTTACTATCAAGGGAATTTAGGCTCCAGATCACAGCATCTGGCAAGTTTCAACTTCTCTGACTAGCAGAAGAAACATTCCTCTTATGTTACTGCATTCCTTTATTGAGTAAATTAATTTATCATAAAATGAATAAATTAGAATGAGAAACATATCTGTTCAGCCTTCCATACTTAAATACATTTTCCAAGTACTTTCTATCTATCTTTAGATTTTTCAAAAGATCAGAGAAATTACTTTTGCTTGAAAGACTGGTTATTGTATTAATGATTTTGATTTTGTAGGGAAGAAACAACTATTGCAACAAGTCAGTTTAAAAAGTAGCACTTGTTTCAGATTAAAAACAATAAGCTATTCAAATAGTCCTTATATACAGCACAATACCAAATCTTCTTGTTTATATGCACCTCCCCACAGCTCTAACATTCACCGAATCCTACCGGGTTAAAATTTTTTCAGGTGCTCTGTGAAACAACTGTTTTTCAGCTGGCATGTTTATGTCCTATATACATGCCTGACACAATATTAAATGTTAAAAATAAATCCTACTTTAACCGCTAAAATTTCCACCTGAAATGGAAAAAATACATCTGGATCACCATAAAATCCATTTTCCACCCTTTCAGTTAGCAAGCAACATTGCTGAAATAAGAGTAATCTTTGCATAGGAAATTTAGGAATGCTCCTGAACATTGTATCAGGATGTTCTGTGTAGCTTGACACATGGGAAGAGAACAGGCAGTCAGTCTTTTTCCTGCAGTAAGTATTTTCCATACACCTACAGCCAAATCTCTAAGGACACAAGATGACTTCTGAATCATAGGTCAGTCTTATCTCAAAATTAAGGAAAAAAGTGCACATGGTCAACAACTTTGGGATGAATACCTTAATAAAATAAGATTACATTACCACTTATTTGGTAAAATTGACAACTAGTAGTATTTCTTGCCTTGTGTTAGAAGTTGTTAATTACTTGTATTGTCCTGTTTTCACTGAAAACACAAATGATGTTAGGAGAGTAATTCTTACTGAGAAAACATGTATGCTTCCTTTGCTAGAGTGCCGAGTCTAAGGTTGGGGAGTTACATCCCATAATCCAGATTTCAAAGTATAGGAGCAGAGAGGTCTAAGAGCTTACAGCTTTTTCTGCTCAACTGCTGTGGTGGCAGTAGAAATAAGCTCTTATTTTTCTTTCAAGAAAATGCTCTGCACAAGAAGATGTACTAATCAAGAGCTTGCTGCAGATAACTTGTAGCATCCTGATTAAAACATTTATTTTTAAACCTGTCAGTCATTACCCTGTGCTATTAATGCGTAACTTGGAAGCTTATTCATAAATGTGTGACATTTGGGTCACTGAGTGAATTATAATGATAGAATTACAGATCAAATTTGGAAGAGTACATTATAATGTTTGGGAGATGTTTTAAATGTTTTTTAAACACCTTTCACTTATCTCCTTGCTTAACATTTACAAAGACCTCTTTTTAGCATAAAAATCCCTGTTTCTCAAACAGTGATACAGGAAGAAGTTGTTTACATTTCAGAAGTACCAACATACATCACTTATGACAAAAAAACCAAGCACTCCATAAGAAATGCTCAATCACTGTCAATCATACACACTAAAATATACATAAACCAAAGCATGTGGTATGAACTGTATTAGATTCAAACTGAACACAGAATTACAACTATAACAAACAAAACCCAAATAATTACTAGTGACTCACAGGCCTATTTACACATCTCACCAAACTATTGGAAAGGTAGGTAACCATAGAAACATGTCAGCCTAAATTCAGCACTTAAAAATTTGTATTTAGTTTAAAATGCTCACAATTCTGTTTCTATTTAACAAAATTTATATTTTTAAAGGCTTCATTTTTTGCTTTGGTACTTAAATAAATGCTTTAAATTATTTCATCTGTTGGTTACTAATAATTTGCCATTTATATTTGATTTTACACAAGTAAAAATTGCAGTTTACTCTCAGTAATACAAAATGCTAATATATTTTAATATTGCAAATTATTTTCTAGCATTTCTTTAATGACTGAAATTAAATAACAATATAAAACAAACACTTCTGTGCTTACCATTAAATGGTTTGCATATGGACTTTTTAAAGCTACACACTAGCAGAAAAAAGAAATTACTGAAATTAACTGTTAAAGCTGAAATGCTAATAGCCTTTTCAACTTATACTTCTTTTTCACTGACAATTGCAATTTGCATGGCTTAAAATTTAATACTATCATTAGTACTAATGTCCTATATTTTACTTCATAATCTAAATGAGTAAAATATTATTTTTGTAGTTCCCTGGCTCTTATACTTAGGCTGTAATGTTCAGTGTGTATTTCATTATGTAGATGAGCAATGGAAGTTGTCTAACATGATTTAAATGGGTCAACAGTATTTTCCTATTCCCATTCATCATCCAGACAGCCACACACACAAAAAATAGCCTTGAAAACTAACCTAGGAAATCCTTTTTTATCAGCGACTCTTCCCACCACTCCAAGAGCAGCGAACGCACGCTGCAGGAGGCGGGAGCGGCGGGAAGCGGGAAGCCAAGGCCGGGCACTGCTCCCCCGGCCAGCGCACGGCTCCCGCCGCCGCCGGCCGCGCTCCCCGGGCCGCCCGCGGCCCCGTGCCAAGAATGATTCTCGTCCCGCCACGTTCAATGGGAGCTGTGTGTTGACAAACTGAGCAAATGTGAATCGGCAAAATTCATTCTTGGCACGGGGACACACAACTGCGCTGAAAGCAAAGGCGCGCTGCCCGCTCTGCTGCACTGGCAGCCCGCTTCTTCTGGCGTAAACACACTTGTCAGAGCTCCCACGGAAGTCAAAGGACACAGGATGAGCCCGTTTATTGCCAAGTGTTTATAAAACACATCAAAATTAAGGGTTCTATTCTTAAGCCATGTAACTACCATCTACGGCCCACTTCATATACAGCACATGGCAAATAAAAGGGCAATTTATAAATAACATAGCCCTTCTGTAGAAAGGGAAGTTGTTCTAATAGATGATAAAGGGGAAGGACATAAGTATAAAACAGGCAGAAAGTAACAGAATTACTGTGTACCAAACATTCAGACTAATTTATTCAAAAATATATTATTAAGCTAAAACAACAACAACAACAAAAAAAACCCTCAACAAAACAGATAAACAAAACCCCAAAACAAACAAAACCAAAACCAAAAACCAAACCTCATTTCTGAACTATTTCCACCAGGTTATTCACTCACTTTGTATGGTTTATTGGATTATTATACTGTCTGATTTTCTAAGCCAGACAGAGTAAGCAAGGAGTCTTTGCAAGAATTTAAGTCTCAAACTCCTTTTTGTAGACTGGAAAGGGTTTACACAGCCTTTTCTGCTCAGACAGTAAATCCATAATAAGAAATAAATGTTTTGCTCTCCACAAGGTGAAGATAATCTAACTTGCCAGCAAAATATGACCAGGCAATTCTCCCGAGCATGTTTAGCTACCTTGTCTGCAAAAGTGGGCAGTAACATATGAAATTCTCTATAGAGACATCCATTTAATCAATTACTAATCTGTAAACTCAACTCAGAACTTCTAGATTCAGACAATCACATGCTAAGAATCCTGCTGCATACTTTTTTCACATGGAAAATGTGAAGTCTTTCTCAATCAATACTCATGGCCTATTGAAGTGATGTGACTGTGAATTTGCATTGTACAGCCCTGGCCACAACTTCATAAATGTCAAGGCTCCTGATCTGTATTCAGCAGGCAAAGAGCTACAATGAAGTTGATTCTGATGTGGCTGTTCCCCTGGCAATGGCACAGCCATTGGAAGTGTTATGCCCATGCCTGGGCCATGCTTGCTCATCCTGTAGTGGTTGGTAGTCCATTGTCACCCCTTGTCACACCGGAGGGGACGCAAGACAACTGCTGCCTTTCCCTAGACACCCCAGCAGATTATTTTCATCTGGTTGAATTTTCAGCTGCCAACACCCCACCAACCCGTTTGCAACACCCATCTGGTTTCCACAGCTGAGGATACTGTTGCAGCAAGCTCTGCCAAAGCCTTTCCATCAGGTACCCTACTGTATACCTGATTTTGTGAAGCAGCTTTTACAGAAGAGCTATTTGGACAAAACAGCCCCCAAATGAACAAAAACAAGACTGTCTTTATCAAGGAGATTTTAGAAACAGCCACTTCTGCAGTCCTTAGTTTGCTCCGCAATTACATTCTTGCCAGAAAATATGTATTAGTTAAGGAGAGTACTCTACAACTCAAAACTCTTAGACAACATAATGGTACTACGCAGAAAGCTGCTGGTACAGTTATACCAGCAAAATAATTCTTGCTGGTACAACTTGATCTTTTGGAGCAAGCTTTGATTTAAGCTTTCCCAGAAGAGAACTATTCTCATGAGATGAGCTTCTGCTGATTTAGCAGGGTGTGTTAGAGCATGAATAAAACTTTATAAACCCAGACAAGACCCACTACTGTATTTACTTCTTTAAAGAACACCCATTTCTATCATGACTCATAGAATTATGTTAATAATAATAATCAGTGCAGAACAACCAGAAATGGCTTGGAGAGGTCGGACCTGCCTAGTCACCTCACAGGTGGTAGTTCAAAAAGGACATGGCAATGCCATTAAGCCTTGTCATCACCTATCACTCCATCCACAAGGCACGAGCGTGATTTGATGCTCAGATCTCCACAAATGACTATGGGCAACACCTCCTCTCAATGTCAACCCAGCATGTCTTTGTGAGATGCCAATCCACTTTATCCAGTGGAAAAGGACCTCAACTCAACAGCTCTAGATGAGTTTACAAGCACACTCAAGAGCTGAGAAGTCAAGCAGAATACAAGCAGATCTCCAGTTACTGCACCATTTCTTACATAAAGCATCTCCATTTTATATGGAAGGAAGCTAGAACTTGACTGTGGCTTCTGCCCAACTCCATCTTCACCTGTGTCTTTCAGTAAATCTGAGACTGAACAGCTAGAATTTATATGACAAACAAACTTGCCACCTTCTTTCAATGTTATGTCACATCTGTTGATTTTCTTTTAAAAAAAAAACACATAAGGCAGGATGTAATTTAAATTTATGTACAAGAAAGCATGAAACAGATAATCTGAGAAGTGTACAAAGTTCTACACAGAACATCTGATATGCTGTAAGTATTAATGTATAAATTCAGACTGTGTTTTTACTGCAATATTTCTTAATTTCTTTTTAGAAAGAAATGACAGGTTCAAAATGAGCTTGATCTAAAATGAAACATAACTTTGAACAGGTTTTAACAATGAATACCTGAACATAAACATCTTTAAAATGTGAAAGCTGGAGACTTTCTAGAGCAGGTTACAGTGGCTGGTTATTTATTACCTAAACTCAAAAGAGAACAGAGCCACTTTCAAAAACATCCATGGAAGTTTTCTCAGGCTGCACGCTAGAGAGTATGTCTGCCAAAAGACCTCCAAGGAGCTCTGAAGAGCCCTTTATTCTCCCTTCTAAGGCTTCCATGCAGCAGAGCAGCTTGTTGAACACTTGGCTTTTAGCATTCCCCTTTTTCTTCAGAAATTACAAAGGGAAAGACATTAATGATTGGGAAAGGCCATAATCTCTAAAAGGACAACGAACAAACTTTCCATATCTTCAAATCATACAAAGAGGGTAAAAAATTACCAACAGAGAAGAAATCTTTATTATACAACAACACAATATTAATGTTTTGAAACAGTTCCTTTAAAAAATCTTCTAGAGTCTCTTTTCACCCTAGATAACACTAAAGGCCAGTGGTGTGACCTGAACTGGTGAATACAAAAGACAACTTTTCTTAAAGGGAAACAAGAACTTGATTTCTTGAAACTAGAACAGTGTCTTCATACTTAGTGTGTTACAAATTGCCTTAAATACTGGCAGGCAAACAGCCATTATGCACTCAAGAGCTCATATGTAATAATACTTAGCTTTTTGATAGAGCTTTTCATCTTCAAAGTGCTTTACAAACAACTCATTAATCTCAACCAATGCACCTGCAAGGTAGATAAATATCTGCATTATACGTGGAGAAAGACACAGAAAGTTCAATGACTCATCCGAAGCCATGCACACTACCAGCCCCAAATATCCCTACTCCTGGCTCCTAGTGCCATGAAGGGCCTGAGCCCTACTGTGTGTTGAGATCATATCTTCTCTTGAGCCACAGAGCTGCAGGAGAACTTATTTTACTGCAAGGCAGTGGCAGAGTGCCAGCCTAGCTGGAGACCCTCCTTTTTCCAACGTTGGTAAGTTCCCAAGGACTGCTAGCTCCCACCAGGATCACCAACCCCAGGAAGCAGGAAGTCCATGAGACACCAAAGTGAGACTCACAACATAGATTCCCAAACTGATTCACCATCAAGCAGTGAGCTGGAAAAGTCTCTGTGTTGGCAGAAGCCTTTGCCTCTCTCCCTGATTGTTTCTAGCTGCTGCATAGACTCTGGAGCAGCAGATTCTTACAAGTCAGACAACACAACCCTGAAGTCTCTGGTCTCTGAGGACTGCCAGGATTCAAGAAAACAGCTTCACTCCTCTGGTATTCTCTATTAAAAACTTGTCATGAAATTTTGCCTTCAAGAGTAGTAATTCTATTTCCTGTTAGTGACTGGAAAAGAAATCTTAACGTGATTATGCTGCATGATTGTACTTTTAACTTTCTGAGTTTTAAAAGTATCAGATACAATTCTTCTTAAACCCCAGAAATACCAGGAAGTCAAACCTGGAGCAGATGAGAAACGTGGAAGGTGTAAACAATACAACACATGTACTGTGCTACAGCAGATTTTATATTCCCTTACACAGAGAAAATGAATAATGAACTTTTAGTAATAACATATTTAGTTCAGATGTTTATTAGTCACTAGATTAAAAATATAAATCTGACAATCCTTATCTGTTCATTCTTCACATTTGTGAGCCCAGAGCTTAGCAAGTTCTCCAGCCACTGTAGTTCCTCCCTGGGTAAACCACTCATGTTTAAAAACATAGGTTAGTCATACAAACTGGTACAATAACAGAAAAACAAATCCCACTTTTTCTTAATATAGCAAAGAAAAAAGTCTCTCTACAAGTAATGGTATATATAACATGTTAGTTAAGCAAACACAAGCAGCAAAAGACAAATGAATGGCAAAAATGCATGTAGCTAGAAGAGCACTACCAGCCTGCCCAGCTGACCTGGGTATAAAAGGCAAAATAAGAACAAAGAAGCAGCCTTTAATTACTCTTCCCACCTTAATGTTTTAAACTTATAAAGAAAAAAAAAACCCAAGCCCACATAATTCAAAACAACACAAAGAAACAACTCCTCATCGTTAAACAGAAACTACAAGTTCCCCACATTTAGAAGACTTTTAAGCTTATTATTTCATTGATTTATAGTGAGCTTGTGTCTGACTGCCAACACCATGCTTTTAAAAAAAGAAGTCAAATCTACAACTTCCAATGAAAATAAGGGCACATAAGAGCAAACTAAAAATATAATATCCAGGAAATAAAATTAGACTTAATTACATTGAACACTAACATTCATTCTGCAATCACAAAAAAATTCTAAAAGCATTTTCTAAATTAAAAACTCCACCATAATATTCTACAGCCAAAATAATATGCAATCTTTATATAATGCAGTTTTTCCAAAAGAATGAAACAGATTA